AGACCGTTAGTCGACAGGGGTGTCGCTGCGGTACCATTGACGATCTCATTCAACTCAGCGGAGTTGGAGACAAACTTGCGCAAGTTGAATCCGCCTGTTGCAAGGTGATTCTTGGCACGGTTGAACGATTCCAACGCATTGGCATTGCTGTTGCCGCCACTCGCAACATCGTCCACGTACAGACTCTGTAGCAGCTTCGTAGTGAACTCGGGATCAAACTTGGCGAGATGGTGTTGCAGGGTAGCGTTCAATAAGAATGGGCTAGCGGATACACCGAAGACAACACGCGTGAATCGGTACGTCTTGAGTACCGGCTGAGCGCTTGTGGGATTGTCGACCCAGAGGAAGCGTAGGACGTCGCGGTCGGCTGCCTCAATCCCAACCATCAAGAACGCCTTCTCTATGTCTGCGGTGAAGGCTACCGCATGCGTTCGGAACCGGAGCAGTATGCTGGTGATCTGCTCGAGCAGCGGTGGTCCCGTGTGGATGCAGTCGTTCAGGGACGGATGCGTCTTCACCTTGGCTGAGGCATCGTACACCACACGAACCTTCGTAGTGGTCTTGTCCTGCCGAATGACAGGATGGTGAGGCAGGTAATGTACTTCGCCCACCACGTCGTGCTCTGTAGTTGGCACCTCCTCGATGATGCCCTTCTGAAGTTGCTCTTGAATTACTGCATTGTATTCCTTCAGAATTTCTGGTGACTTCTGCAGTTTCTTGAGTGTTGACTGCAGCCGTTTCTCGGACAGACTGTAATTGTCTGGAAGCGCGCGATGATCCTCCCTCCATGGCAACCTGACCGTGTACCTCTGCCCATCGTAGCGGATGGTCTGTTGGAACAGCTGCAGAGTGTCTGGTTCATTAGGCAAGATGCCAATGGATTCAAGCTGCCAGAACTTCTGGAGTAACTGGACCAAAGCGCCGTCTGGATCTTGCACGGTAGATGGTTCGACATCGCAAGCGTGATTGGTTGCGACGTTAGTGGAGATGATGCCTGAATTACACCTGCCTGTTGGTCCGGACAGAACCCACCCGAGGCGAGTATCGAGAGCAGTTGGCCCATCATCTACACGAACGATGTCGCCCGTGACGATCTGCCAATAAACATCAGCGCCGAGTAGAATGTCGATACTAGCTGAGCCGCCACAGTTGTCGGCGAGACTGAGATTCTGTAGAGACTCGTAAGCTGTGACTACATCTGCGGTGTGCTGATTTTGCACGGGTGCACAGACTGATGGCACGACGATGCAGTTGACACGAATCCGGTTGCCATCGACGCACTGAATGTCCAGTTCGACCACGTCCCGGAGTGTGCTTGGGCTTGGCTGTTCGCCGCCAAACGCGTTTATCACTACACGTTCTTGACCGGAGCGGCGCACATCCAACTGAGTCAGTACCGATGATGTAGCGTACGAGCGTTGGCTCCCACCGTCTAGCATTACTCGCACAGGCACTTTTCGATCTGGACGTTGAGGCGAGACCACCGAGGTCTGTGCAGTTTGTAGAAATACAGCTCCGCTGTCGCTGACAGTAGCTGCGGTTGTTGACGAAAACACTGGCTTCGACCATTTTCCACTTCCGCCTTGTCTAGATGGCGGAGATGATGTCTTCGCGCCAGTCCCAGGCTGCTCTGACGACTTGGGTTCGCAAATGGACGTATGATGTCGATGCTCGCATTTGCTACATCTCAGCTTGGACTTGCAGTCGCGAGCCATGTGGTTCTTCTTCAGACAGATGAAGCAACGACCATTCTTGCGTATCAGCTCCTTGCGGCGCTTGATGTCTGTGATGGACGAACATTGCGAGGACTCGTGTCCGCTGCCGCAAAACACACATTCTACGCTCGATGAGGTGACGGTAAGAGCTGCTGCTGTGGAAATGTCTGATTTGGCAGGCTTGCTCATCAGACGTGTGGCTGCAACGCTATGCGAGACACTCTGCAGGGTCTCCTCCGCTTCCGTGCGGAAATCTGCTTCCCGTACTAACCACTGCAATAGCGAGTCGACCGACTCGACAATATTGTTATCGCAACGCCACCGGTGGTACGCCGTTAACAGATCTTGGCTCAGCTTCTGCTGCAGCTGAGTGCAGAACGTACCGTACGACAGCTCATTCTGACGGCCAGCATCAATCAAGTTAATCTTGGCGACTTGCACAAGATCTGCGAAACGCTCAAGCTGTTTGGCTGTGCCACGCTCACGGATTGCTGGCATGTCCTGGAGCGCGGACATGTGGACGGCTGTTTTGCGCTTCTCACCTCCGTACTTTTGGTCAAGTCGCTGGAGTGCTGCTGCGTAGGCCGCTGCCGAGTAACCATACGTCTCGACAGTCTTCAACGGTGGACCGGACAGATATTGCCTGAGCTGCAACAGCTTCAGCTCCGGTGACAGAGGCTGTTGATCGACGCAGACGTTGAAAGACGTACGCCATGTGTCGTATAGCTTTTTGTCGCCGTCAAAGGTTGGTATCTTGATCTTTCCTAAATGGCGGTAAACGTCTGATGGTGGATTGCCTTGCGATGCATGCGAAGGACCAGGTGTGAATCCTGGTACTGGTCCAGTCAATCCATACCCATTTGGGGTGCCGCCATAAGGGCCATAATTGGATGCTGATTGTTGGCCTGGGTACAGTGCACTTCCATTCTGTGCAGGCGATCCACCAAAAACGGCGTTGACTGGTGGAGGTAGAGCTGGTGATGGGTACAAACCACTGACATTGTACTGCGTCTGTAGACTCTGTACCCCAAAAGCGGCGTTGTTGGACGACACTGCTGCAGGTAGCACTGGTGACCACTGTGTCGAACCAGCTAAATTAGGCGTTGTACTACACGGCGGCGGCCACTGGCTAGCTGCCGTATCTGACTGCGTCCATTGCGGGGTTTGACTCTGGCCCGTCTGGGCCGCTTGTAATTGTGGCACTCCGAGTACGTCGAGCGGCAAGCGGCTACCGTAGGGGATCGTACTCGCAGAGGCCGGGGCCAGGTGGGACTGTGATCCAAAAGAGGCTGATGCTGATGCTGCTGAACCACCATAAGCGGACGCTGGGTCAGTCGCGGTGCCGAAACCCTGAGCAAATTTCGTTGCGTTTACTCTCGACGACGTACCACTCGCAGCTAGTGTACGGGCTGAACTGAGGCTGTGTTGTTGTGTTGGTGTAGTTGTTGTTCCGTATTGCAGCGTTGGTGTTGCAGCTGTGATCGTGAATGTGCGATTGTCGTTTGTTCGTGTTGTGTTGGTGTAACCAGCACTCGAGACTGGTGTACTCGTGCTCGTCGTGTTCTGCGTGATCTGTTGACGTCCGACGTCGTACGGTGACGAGACTGACGACTGTCGAGGGTTGGTACCGGTGTCACTACTGCTCACAGCCAGACGCAAATCTGTACTCACGCCAACACCGGCACCTGGTTGTTGCTGCTTGCGCTGCTCTGCTGGGACGTTGTTCCGGTCTAGGTCGCGCGCTGCTGGCCCTGTGGCCCCTGTAGCTGCTGACGGGATACCAGATACATCAGGCATGGACATGACTACATTCGTGCATGCACTATCCTGGCCTACAAACACAAGCTCCGTAGCTGCGGTGTTAGCATCCGACGCGGGAATGTGTACGGTACTACCACTAGTACTGGGTTCACTCTGGCCACTGGCCTGTACACTACGACTCGTGCTGGATGTATCTAATTCTTGCATGCTACTAGTACTCCACTGGAGCTGCTCCTGTGCAGTTCGTATTTTGTCTGTAGCTGAAATGGATTCCAAATATGCCTGAACTCTCTCTGGGTGACGGGTGTATCGCAACCCCGTGATTTCGCTTGTGTGTGCACTGTTGTATCTACTCATGCTGATATTTGCTAAAGTAGTGCTGGCCTGCGTCACCGCCTCAGTGTACGACACCTCTAATTCTGCAGTCTCCTTTGCCAAACTCTCTAAATAAGTAGGATTCTTGCAAAATATATCCGCCAGCTCTGAAACAACCTCCATCACGGAGTTCATCCTGTTCTCGAGCATTAGTAGCCCATATTTAATCTCCTCGACACTCACGGTTTCCGATACGATGGACACCAGCAACCCACGTCGGACATTAGTATATTCCGTCTTCGCCTTAGCCTTGGCGATCTTCTGCTGCGGACCAATACTATCTGCCATCTCTAGTCTTCTCTGGTTCGAATCCGGCGATCCGGCTCGAAGGACCAATTTACAAAATGATCTTTGTAAGGCTGCTTTGGCTCAACGCGAGCGCATCTTGGGTTCTCTTAGACTCAAACAAACTGTTGCTTATCATTAGACAACGTAAAACCAAAAACCGAAACGACACGAGGAGACAAGCTCCAGGAAAAAGGGCTAGAAAACCGTATGTCGTACGTGAAGACCATGGGAACGTCGTAGGCGTACCATGGCGCAAAAGGTAAGTAAAATACTTTAGAAGACACGATAGAAAGAAGAAAGAAGACTGTATAATCGATTGCTTGTATGCTTGTATGTATGCTTGGTGCGAACCATTAGTTTGTGACAATACTCTTATTCATGCAATATCTAACAAGCATGCAATCTCTAACAAGCATGCATTATCTAACAAGCATGCAATATCTGACAAGCATGCAATCTCTAACAAGCATGCACTATTGACAAGCATGCAATATTCCACACAATGGGAGCGTGACCGATTTTGAGAACAATAGACACAACAAACTGGGCCAAAGACTTGCACACATTGATGGGGTGAGGAGGCAGTAGATGAGAATTTTCGGGTTAGGACAGGATTCCACTCGGATAAAGGTCAATGAACAGATGATTTATACAAAAGAGAAAGACCAAGGAACTACAAGTTACGCTTTACTGTCCACTAACACCACCAGTTACTAAACAATCAGCTTGGTCTTTCTCTTTTGTATAAATTAAACCATGGCTCTCCATCTGAGAACAGATGATTGTTTGCTCGTTAATTGTACAGTGCAAAACAGAACATGATCATCCTGGTTCATGACACTCAATGTCACTGTGCTTTACCTCATTCTTGATGTTGCAGTCCGCCCCTGCAGCGAGCAGCGCTTGACACACATCGAGTTTACCTATACTGGCGGCATCATGCAACGGAGTGTCGCCATGCTGGATGCACACGCAAGAAACAACAGTAGAGGAAAAGGTTCTCAATGGGTTTGATTGTAGAACACAGTCACAACTGTAGATCAAAGCAAAACAATTCAGAGTGGAATTCAACAGTTGGTGGATATGGTACTACTTGTCTGGTATTTACATTGCATGATTGCCATTAGTGTACAGACATACATGTACACTTATACCTCGGTTATCCAGACCCCAAAGTTACGGGAATTTCAGGCTACCGGACACCCTTTGGTTGAGTTTAAGTGGAAATGTTACTACTCTTTTGGCAATTTTTCTGGAAATAGTGACGACATATGCTATATTATCTATGGCCATTCCCCGTCAAAAAGTTTGTGATTAGGAGTTATGGACATTTCGAAGTAACGGGCAGTGCCCGGATAAACAAGTTATGAGTGTATTTCATATTGTCGGATCATTGTGTCGTTGTACAAATTGGATCAACGCCCATGATGCGGTACGAATGCGGCTAGACGTACACATATGCAAGTGCAGTGATGTGATCGGAACTGGTCCCTGGTACCAGTTTTGCACTTTAAGTCGCATTTCAGTGAAGAGAATTGTATCGCTTAATCTGATCCCTCTCAGGTGATTCAGCGGCAATTTTGGAGTTTGTGCTTCTGACACTTTCAAAAAGGATTTTTTGCCTTTTATCCTCCATGTATAATTTGATATCGTACTCGTAATGCAGGTTCAGTGAAACCCAGCGTATTCATGCGGCTGCACATTCGTAGTACATACCTCATACGATGTTACTGTCTTATGATCGGGAAAAAAGCTGCCGTCAACTGAATCCGCCGAGGGCCAAACCAAGCGGATTAGCATGCACTCTGCAAATTCAAGGGCACTCACGTCAGGTGAAAGATTCTGGTATGATGGCGTCTCTCAAGAATATACCAAGCAATGGGAGCTTGACCGATTTTGAGAACGAAAGACACAACACCCTGGGGCAAAGACCTGCATACATTATAGTCATGAGGAGGCCGTAAATGAACATATCCTGTTAAACACAGAACAGGACTATCCTGGTTCATAACAATCAATGTAACTGCGCTTTACCTCATTCTTGATGTTACAGTCGGCCCCTCCAGCGATCAGCGCTTGACACACCTCGAGGTTATCTCTCCTGACGGCATCGTGCAACGGAGTGTCGCCACGCTAGATGCACACGCAACAAGCAACAGTACAGGAAAAAGTTCTCAATGAGTTTGATTGTAGAACACAGTCACAAATGTAGAGAAAAGCAAAACAATTCAGAGTGGAATTCAACAGTTGGTGGATATGGTACTACTTGTCTGGTATTTACATTGCATGATTGCCATTAGTGTACAGACATACATGTACACTTATACCTCGGTTATCCAGACCCCAAAGTTACGGGAATTTCAGGCTACGGACACCCTTTGGTTGAGTTTAAGTGGAAATGTTACTACTCTTTTGGCAATTTTTCTCGAAATAGTGACGACATATGCTATATTATCTATGGCCATTACCCGTCAAAAGTATGTGATTAGGAGTTATGGACATTTCGAAGTTACGGGCAGTGCCCGGATAAACAAGTTATGAGTGTATTTCATATTGTCGGATCATTGTGTCGTTGTACAAATAGGATCAACGCCCATGATGCGGCACGAATGCGGCTAGACGTACACATATGCAAGTGCAGTGATGTGATCGGAACTGGTCCCTGGTACCAGTTTTGCGCTTTAACCCTTTACCGGCAGCCCCATACTTGAATGCGTCGTAAACGACGCATTCGACATGCATACTGTTGAATACGAATTAGGACAACGGACAACGGGAACAAGTTAGTGGGAACGACATTTATTAGAGATGACGAGACAAGAGACCAAGACGAACGAAACGACTACATGGTGATTATTGACAAGTGAGGAAGAGATCAAGTCTGAACGGCAAGATAAAGGGCCTGGGTAGCTATGGCAAATATGGGCGCGCAAGTAGCTACCCAGGCCAACGGAACAAAAGGAGACAAAAGGTGAGTATGCAAGTGCATGCAGGCCAGCTAGAAAAGGTACGGGAGGAGGTACCTAACATACCCCCCTCCATGAAAAAAAATCCCGCGTCTTCGCGGAGAGAAAAAAAAAGAGAGAGAAAAAGATTTCAAAAAATGACTGTAGGAGAAAAAACACACACACACACAACGCACGGGCCTCACAAAAGTGTGTACTAAAAAATGCACTACAGATCATTACAACCGTTAACGTTCCTGTACTACTCATACTATAGTGTGTACATTGCCAATAACGGGCCCAAACGCCCCTTCAAAACATGGCACAAAAAATAACTATTGGAGTTCGACGAGGGACTTGAATTGTATTCTGATGACTAGTATTTTGCACGGTTAATAGAGCCTAGTTACACTTTAATATACGACATAAATAAGAGAGCGTGGCTCACCATGATCGGACCCCTAATGTTAATGAAGGACACCCGCGCGCACACACACTAAAAAAAATTCACGAAAATAAATTTGACGAAGAAGGAACGCATACAAAAAAGAGAAAGAGAGAAAGGTAGCTGACCTGCATGGCTTGAACAACACGAGGTTGACATAGACGAGACGAGGTTGGCGTAGGAGAGACGAGGGTGATAGAGACGAGACGAGGTTGGCGTAGGAGAGACGAGACTGACATGGACGAGACGAGGTTGACATAGACGAAACGAATGGCGGTTGAGGACGGCTGGGCATAGGATGATCTCAGGGTCGTGGGTCGCTCAATAATCGGGCGCCAATGTTGAATATGAATTAGGCAAGATAAAGGGCCTGGTTAGCTATGGCAATTATGGGCGCACAAGTAGCTACCCAGGCCAACGGAAAAAAGGAGACAAAAGGTGAGTACGCAAGTGCATGCAGGCCAGCTAGAAAAGGTACGGGAGGAGGTACCTAACAATACTAAAACCATGCCTGGTATGACAGGAAGTATCAGCCCACGGGGATTTCCCGTGGCCCTCACACAGCCTAGGTATGATCCTATCCGTAGCTGAAGAGATCTACGCGTGTCCCATTTGATTTCATTGAGAACTGCGCGATCGAAAATTTACGGAAATACACGCGCGCCGACAATGCCATCTGCCTCCGTCAAAACGTCGTCAGGTGCATTTCCTCTTGCGCAGTGAGTTCCTCAGATGACTTCTCCGACGAGGACCTAGCAGACCTTTGCTCTGGGACCCACGACAGTTAGATAAATACTTCGTTCCAGCCGCCGATGCAAGCGAATTTCAAATTGCGGAGCGGAGTAAATTCTCACGCAAATATCGGGAGCTCCAGCCGCTGAAGACGATGTCGTCGTGATGTAACTGGAAGAATCTGATGGTGCTTATGGTGTGTGGAAGCCATGGAGAGTGATCCCGTGTCGACAGTCTTCCAGAGACGCAATATTAGGCCATCGACTTTCTACGTACCTGAGTGACGGCAGCGCAGCGCGACTTGCGCACGACCTTACGGAGCCATCGGACAGCGATTTTGGGGCGATGCTGCTCTAAATTGCGAGCGAGGCACGGCCACTGAAGTCTGTGATGGCTATGGCGTTCATTTCCGCTCTGAAGTCGACTTGTTTTGGCAGTTTCATGTCAACGTCGGAATCTGACGATTTGCATTGTGTACAATTTCCGTGTTTAGACGTATAGGTGCCAATTTAGTAGCGTATGTGTGTGGTATGTGAAAATAATTTTTTACATCGTCAAGAAGTAGTACCAGACTTCCAAGAAAACATAACTTGCACATACAAAATGTGCCCTCGTTGTGAGTTATTGGCATCCTTCTCAATGTTATGGATTTCAGATACAAAATGCACTTGCCGGCAAAGGGTTAAGTCGCATTTCGGTGAAGAGAATTGTACGTCGCTGCCTTTATCTGATCCCTAGCGGGTAATTCAGCGGCAATTTTGGAGTTTGTGCTTCTGACACTTTCAAAATGGATTTTTTTGCCTTTTATCCTCCATGTATAATTTGATAGTGCACCTAAACGCTACGTGAGGGTTCTTGTATGGAAATCCTGTATTCACATCTGGAATGCTCGATGTTCTGTATGCACAGCCTACTATTCACGAGGATGGAGCCTGCGCTGCACTAGCCTGCAGCAATGTAAGATACAATATACATGTAGCTCGAAATACTTTTCTGTTTTCAGCTCATGCGCCTGAAGTCCACCTGTAGACTCCTCCCGAAGTCGTTCCGAGTTTTAATACTTCGACATACTAACCCTTCATACGTGTAATGGATGGAACATAGAAATCATTGTTCCGTCTGGACCCGCTCAGGTGAAAGATTCTGGTATGATGACGTCTCTCAAGAATAAACCAAGCTATGGGAGCTTGACCGATTTTGAGAACAATAGACACAACACCCTGGGGAAAAGACCTGCACACATTATAGTCGTGAGGAGGCCGTATATGAACATTTCCGGTTAAGACAGGATTCCACTCGATCGGGTGAAGGTCAGGGAACACATGATTTATCGTACGTTAATTGTAGAGTGCAAACACAGAACAGGATTATCCTGGTTGATAACACTCAATGTTACTGTGCTTTACCTCATTCTTGATTTTACAGTCGGCCCCTCCAGCGATCAGCGCTTGACACACCTCGAGGTTACCTCTCCAGGCGGCATCGTGCAACGGAGTGTCGCCACGCTGGATGCACACGCAAGAAAGAAGAGTGCAGGAAAAAGTTCTCAATGAGTTTGATTGTAGAACACAGTCACAACTGTAGATCAAAGCAAAACAATTCAGAGTGGAATTCAACAGTTGGTGGATATGGTACTACTTGTCTGGTATTTACATTGCATGATTGCCATTAGTGTACAGACATACATGTACACTTATACCTCGGTTATCCAGACCCCGAAGTTACGGGCATTTCAGGCTACCGGGCAAACTTTGGTTGAGTTTTAGTGGAAATGTTACTACTCTTTTGGCTATTTTTCTGGAAATAGTGGCGACATATGCCATAGTTATGGCCATTTCCTGTCAAAATGTATGTGATTCGGGGATACGGACATTTCGAAGTTACAGGCAGTGCCCGAATAAATAAGTTATGAGTGTATTTAATATTGTCGGATCATTGTGTCGTTGTACAAATTGGATCAACGCCCATGATGCGGTACGAATGCGGCTAGACGTACACATATGCAAGTGCAGTGATGTGATCGGAACTGGTCCCTGGTACCAGTTTTGCACTTTAAGTCGCATTTCAGTGAAGAGAATTGTACGTCGCTGCCTTAAGATCCCTCCCGGGTGATTCAGCGGCAATTTTGGAGTTTGTGCTTTTGCCATTTTCAAAATGGATGTTTTTGCCTTTTATCCTCCATCGTACTCGTAATGCAGGTTCAGTGAAACCCAGCCTATTGACGCAGCTGCACATTCGTAGTACATACCTCATACGGTGTTACTGTCTAATGATCTGGAGAAAGGTGCCATCAACTGAATCCGCCGAGGGCCAAACCAAGCGGATTTTAGCATGCACTCTGCAAACTGAAGGGCACTGACGGCGTCTCCGACATGTCGATGTAGAGTGATGCAAGAAACAAAAACGGAGGAAGGCATGCAGAAGTCTTAGCTTCCGTGCTTCTGTTCTCTGATCGCGAAACCAGTTTGTGTAGCTAGTGCACCTAAACCCGACGTGAGGGTTCAGGAAATCCTGTATTCACATCTGGAATGATCGAGGTCCTGTATGCACAGCCTACTATCCACGAGGATGGAGCCTGCGCTGCCCTAGCCTCCAGCAATGTAAGATACAATATACATTCAGCTCGAAATACTTTTCTGTTTCCAGCTCATGCTCCTGAAGTTCACCTGTATATTCCTCCCGAAATCGTTCCGAGTTTTTCTCCCTCGAGATACTAGCCCCTCATACGTGTAATAGATGGAACAGAATATTGTCCCGCATGGACCTTGCTCAAGTGAAAGATTCTGGCATGATGGCGTCTCTCAAAAATATACCCAGCAATGGGAGCGTGACCGATTTTGAGAACAACAGACACAACACCCTGGGCCAAAGACCTGCACACATTGATGGGGTGAGGAGGCAGTAGATGAGAATTTTCCGGTTATGACAGGATTCCATTCGGGTAAAGGTCAGGGAACACATGATTGTTTGTACGTTATTTGTGCAGTGCAAACACAGAACAGGATCATCCTGGTTCAGGACACTCGATGTCACTGTGCTATACCTCATTCTTCATTTCACAGTCGGCGCCTGCAGCGAGCAGCGCTTTACACATCTCGATTCTACATAACCTGGCGGCATCGTGCAACGGAGTGTCGCCAAGCTGGAAGCACAGGCAAGAAAAAACTCCATAGCTGGCTATCGTCTTATCTTGACGCCAGTTCACTCCAGTGCTTAGTTGGTGGGCAGATTTCTTCTCTCTACCCAATCTCTGCAGGGGTGCCCCAGGGCAGTATGTTGGGCCCTACGCTGTTTTTAACCCTTTGAGGACTACCCAAAACCATCTGGATTCCTACCATTTTCAGGCGAAAAATCGATATTTTCAAAAATTGATCTAGTGTCATAAAATTTGGTTCTAAAGAGACATAGACATCAGTAGTCAACAAAAACCAAAGTTTCTACATCATATATTCATTATAGAGGTCAGAATGGTCAATTCAAAAAAAGGTGTATGTTGCGATTTTCTCAAAAATCGAGTTTAACAAATATTGGATATGGTGTCCTAAAGTTTGATTCTAAAGAGACATTGATATCAGTGACATCCTCAGAAAAGTAAAAGGATCACACTGTTCATCCTCACTATCGCTGCTCATAAAGATAATGCCGAGGGCCTCAGACAAGGAGACACTTGACAGGTTACGTGCCATCGGCACTCTCAACAAAGTAACAAGCTAGTTTCAAATTCCAAATAATTTCTCGATCGGCGCATTCTCTGAGTATACTCAAATGTGGCCGGTTCTCCACGGGACCGACCCGGATCGACTGCGACATGTCTTACCTTGACGAAGAATCAGATCGTACTCGTCTGAGCAACATATGAGCGACTACCAGCACCTAAAAATATATCGATATCGCAATTTTCTCAAAAACTGATACACTCGTCTTTAGGAATCCAGCTATACCTTAAAAAAGGGATATATTCGTCCTTCGTCCTCAAAGGGTTAATACACGTGAATGAATCTGCCGATGTTCTTGATGGCAATGCTAAGCTTGAGGCCTACGCGGTCGATACCACACTATACAGTCTAGTATCCTCAGCTCAGTGCCCTCGGGACGCTGCATGCACCTTGCAGGTATCTACAAACCGCCTGCATAAGTGGGGTTGCCGGTGGAAAGTGTCTTTCGAGCCCACCAAGTCACAGGCTATGACTGACTGCTACCCTCCGACGCACTGACCTAGACCTACCCCAAATCCAGTTTGGTGGTACCTCTGTACCGGAGGAAACCAGCTTGGTGTTCGATTTGACTCCAAACTGTCCTTCGCTAGTCACCTCAGGACCGTGACCATCCGCGCCCAGCAGCGCCTCGGCTTTCTCCGACGAGCGGCCCACATTCTAACGCCAGCTGGCCGAACGACTGTCTACAAGGCATTCGTCATGCCCTGATGGAGTATGCCCCGCTTGTGTGGATGGGCGCACCAGCCAGCCACATCCAACGTCTGGATAATGTTCAACGCCACGCACTGCGCATCATTGGCCCTGGGGCAATTCTCCTCAGTCTGGCTGTCCGCCGGACTGCTGCTGCTCTCTCGTGCATGTACAAATTGCATTTCATCACTGGTCCTCCTCAGCTACTTGCTGTATTGCCACCGCATCACGTTTCTCCAGCCAACCCCAGAACCAGGAACGAGCCCAATAATGCCACTAGCCATGCCCATCAACTGTCAGACACGCTCCCTGTCTCAGCTCCATCCGTCGTGAAGCGGTCGTTCCCGTACTGCTGTATAGGCGCACTGAACTCTCTTCCTGACAGGCTGCTGTCGCAGCGCCCGCACAAAACACGTTTTCAGTCATTAAAGACAAAGGTCTACCTACACCTGAGAGACAGCAAATGGTTCTGGGCAACATATTCCCTGTAATTTTTCGAGCTCGTCGCTTGCCCGACCCGCTAATCTGCGTACCTGGCCTTGCTCAGAGTGCTCAGCTGTGTTTTGCATACGTGTACATGTACATGGTACATCAGTCCTAACACCGATAATTTTTTTTTATCTTAAAAAGGCGACGTGGAGACAATAATCTTAATAATGCAATGAATACAACTAAATGCGCACTCATATCACAACCATGGGGACGAATCATGTATTCCAGAACGTTTTCTTGTCACAATTATCAATGGAATTCGTGACTAAAGAGAATGATGAAACTACAATAGAATTTATACACTTGGAGTGAAACAGCGAGGATACAAGCATAGTAAGAAAAATAGCACAAACCTAGGAACAATTTGCACAGGTAATAAACTATAGGTGAGGTGAGAAATGATAGGAAATTCAGTAAGTGCAGTGTGACAATGGACATGCATGTGCAAGTGTGTATCTTGTTTTTATTTTTCTAAACACCTACCGGTACTTTTACCCATTCTACTTCCCCATAGCTAGATCTAGCTTCGCTTTACATTTCTGTTTGTTTTTCCAGGTGCGTGCTTGTGGCATTGAAGCCGAGACCTTTGGTCGGTGGAGCCGAATTGAAGGTCACTTACGTCGTCTCCGACATGTTGATATAAAGTGGCGCAAGAAATAAAAGGAGGAGGAAGGCATGCAGAAGTCTTAGCTTCCGTGCTTCTGTTCTTTGCTCGCGAAACCAGTTTGTGCAGCTAGTGCACCAAAACCCTACGTGAGGGTTCTTGTATGGAAATCCTGCATTCACACCTGGAATGCTCGATGTTCTGTATGCACAGCCTACTATTCACGAGGATGGAGCCTGCGCTGCCCTAGCCTGCAGCAATGTAAGATACAATATACATGTAGCTCGAAATACTTTTCTGTTTTCAGCTCATGCCCCTGAAGTCCACCTGTAGACTCCTTCCGAAGTCGTTCCGAGTTTTAGTACTTCGACATACTAACCCTTCATACGTGTAATGGATGGAACATAGTAATCATTGTTCCGTCTGGACCCGCTCAGGTGAAAGATTCTGGTATGATGGCGTCTCTCAAGGATATACCAAGCAATGGGAGCGTGGCCGATTTTGAGAACAATAGACACAACACCCTGGGGCAAAGACCTGCACGCATTATAGTCGTGAGGAGGCCGTAAATGAACATTTCCGGTTAAACACTGAACAGGATTATCCTGGTGCATAACACTCAATGTTACTGTGCTTTACCTCATTCTTGATGTTACACTCGGCGCCTCCAGCGATCAGGGCTTGACACACATCCAGGTTACCACCATTGGCGGCACCGTTCAGACATACATGTACACTTATACCTCGGTTATCCAGACCCCAAAGTTACGGGCATTTCAGGCTACTGGGCAAACTTTGGGAGAGTTTCAGTGGAAATGTTACTACTCTTTTGGCAATTTTTGTGGAAATAGTGGCGACATATGCCATATTTATGGCCATTCCCCGTCAAAATGCATGTGATTCGGGGTAACGGACATTTCGAAGTTACGGGCAGTGCCCGGGTAAACAAGTTATGAGTTTATTTCATATTGTCGGATCACTGGGTCGTTGTACAAATTGGATCAACCCCCATGATGCGGTATGAATGCGGCTTGATGTAAACATATGCAAGTGCAGTGATGTGATCGGAACTGGTCCACTCCGGTCCGTCCGCATCAACAATGAGAGGAATGTCCTTGTTGCGTCTGTCTCCACTTGCATACTTTGTCCACCATTCTTTGTCCTTGAGTGACGCTATGACGACTACTGGCCTCCTTAGGTGCTAGGGTCATCTTAGGATATTGACGGCTGTGGTAACAAAGCGGTGGAAAGCTTGTTTGAGTAGAAGATCGTTCGGGTATTTTCTCTAGGAACGCCAACGGCTGTAATTTTCCCTCGTAGCAGCTGTACATTCCGGGGTCCACCATTTTGGATCACTCGGCCTCGTGGTATGTTCCTTAGATGGGACAAACTTGGCTATTGCACCTCTGATGGTGGTGGTTACCCGCTCATAGGAGGTGTTTGGGTCATCACTCATCAGTTATGATGTCGTGCCATGGAGAGTTGTGAAGGAAATCTTGGAGGCGATGCCAGTCCGCGCTCTTGTAGCGCCAGACAGTTCACGTTGCTGCAGGCCCGTGGCAAGGTAATATGCATACAAAGTCGGATAGCACCATAACGTGGTCAGAACGCCCAACAGGGTGTGTGGTGGTTGTCCATACTGGAGAGTTGAAGGTAGACATCACGAAATCAAGGGTGTTGTCGCCACGAGTAGGAGTCCGAGCATGCTGCATAAGAAGGTGCACAGCACAAGTGTCCTCAAGGGCTTTTCCTGCCAGTGTGGTATTAGAGATGTTGAGCCAGGCACGGTTGTGAACGTTAAAGTCCCCAGCAAGAATGAGACTAGAGCCGTGTTGACGGGCCAAAGGAAGGATTTCGTCGAGATGATGGATAAGCGAGTTGCTGTTGCTCTTGCCGCACTCAGCCAGTAAGGCCATTGCTCTGTCTTCTTCACTAGTAGGATCAGAGTGGGCCAGAGACGTGGTGGGGTTAGGCTGCTGTGGGAGGGGGTGGTGGCTCCTCTCTCTCTCTGACCCCTCAGCCCAGCTGCTGTCGGAGGACAGAGCTAGAGTGCAATCGGGCTCACCTTCATTGCCTACCGCCGAGGCAGGTTCCGGTTCCCCGGAAGCATCCCTTTCCGCATCCGATCCTCCTACAGCAGCTGAATACGAGAACGGTTTGTCTAGCCCCACACCACTAGCACTGGCAAGCTGGCGGTTGGTTGTCGTACCAGAGGGAGAATGTTGGTCCAATGAGCTTATACTTTGCCTTTTGTCCTGCTACTCTTTCCGCATCCGACCCTCCTACAGCAGATGGGTCATGTTTGTCTGACACCACACCACTGGCCAGTTGGCGGTTGGCTGTTGGACCCCGACACCATCGTCAGGCGAAATAGCTCGTCATAGTACATTCGAGATCAGCGGGAAGAAGTTGACGACGTCCACTAATTTAGTATCAGTGCACACGAATCTGCTGTGTGTGTTACTCTGTGTGTCAGCTATGGCATCATCGCCTGTGGTTCCATGCCTAGCATGTACGTCTGAACCGTCCTGCAAAGTTTGAATGACGTAGGTTGAGCGATCGCTCCGCGAAACATATTTTTTGAAATTCTCTTCATAGTATATCTTCCACCATTGAAATTTCGAATTTCTTCGAATTTTTTGCTGAGAGGGTGGCTTGCAACCTCGATATGGCTTGTTCCAGGCATGCTTTGGAGCCATCGCCTGTTGAAACAGTGGCGGGAAGCTGCCCTGCAACTGTTCCAACAGGAAATTAATCGATCCGAGAAAGCGCGAGTCCGCGAATCTCGGTTGAATATTGAGTATTTCAAGCCTTTTCACGACAAAGACTGTGGAGTTCTTTTTGGAGATGGACGTCGCGGCAAATAACATGGTGTCCGACTTCTGGTGTCTGGTGAAGCCAGGGATCATTTGTCCAGTCATGTCGGCAGCCTAACCGTCGGTGAGCTTGTGTTTGGATCCCGTTCTGCTCGATGTGGTAGATCACAAACAATTTGATATCGCACAAATTGATCTCAGCATCGTGCGTACGGTATTTTATATTCAGAAAATCCCAAAGTGTCTCTGTGTGGCCGTCCTATGCCTTGAGAAACTCCAATCAGGCTCCTATGTCCTCTGCCTTCATGATTGAATGTCCACTTCGTTTGAACAACGAACACAACAATCGAGGACGGCTTTGCAATGAAAAATACAGCTATACTGGAGCTGAAAAAGAGAAGAAAAAAACGTGCTCGGGATGAGACTCGAGTACACGCATACTCTCCCAGTAGGTGAAACGCAAATTTTTGTGAAAAATGCGTGTCGCCGACTGACCAGTAATTTCGCCTGACGGGATTTGTTTGTACTCCGTGTGTAGGTCAGGCGATTTGGACAGTCCTTTGCCTCATGTCCGCCTTTCTGACATCGAAAACATAACATCTTTGTGTTTGACCTTGGTACGAACCCCCTACCGTGGTCATACCGGAGCCTATACGCACAGCAGAATGGATGCTCTTCTTCAGGCTCATTCTTGCATGGTGGGTTCCCGTTTCGATTGAAAAATCACCATGCTCCGCGATTTTTCTTGTTATTCGGCCACAAATATCTCCAAACACCCCAAAAACTTGCCACTGCTCCATCGTGTAAATGCAATGGGCATCCAAATACCGATACTGTGATTACTTCACTGCCGCCTACAGTAACACGTACATCCTTACCGATTATTGATAAGCCAGAGGATACAAGCCGGTCGTGTGCGGCTCCACAGGACAATGCTACGGGGAACCAGCTAACGTCTCGGGCACTAACAAGCCATAAGGCCCTCCCTACCATGCACTAACCTATAATTATTACCCACTGGTTTGAGGGAAAGACGAAAACGGGAAAAATCTGAAGAAAAAATTGACTATCACCACCAGGACTCGGATCAAGGACCATAGCTTGTAGCCAGGGATGCTCTAACCACTGAGGTATGGTGCAGTTCTCATCCCAGCAGAGACCATTCAACATCCTCTTCAGACTTCGTAACTCACACTTCCTGTGAATCCACACAGGTGGGTGTGACGCTGCCCTCACTGTAACCCACACACTTCACGTACAAAACTTGCACGCGGGAAGCCCCAAGTCATCGAATATTTACTGGTATGAGGGAAAGGCGGAAATGGGAAAAATCGGAAGAAACAATAATATTTAATTGACTGTCACCACTAGGACTCGACCCAGGGCCCCTCGCATGTAGCCAGCGATTTCATTATCCAAATTCGATTTTGGATAATAAAATTCTTTTAAAATTCCTTAAACTCGCTGTTGTCTGGCCATGTCTGCATCAATTATATTCTTCACACACGCACCCAACGGCCTGGGAGCCTTGGGTGTTGCCAGTAGGCCCCAGCGGATAATACTAGCATTATACCCAGCATTTTTAGCACTTTCTGCAAACTAGTATCGTGCTAGCATAATCTGGCAAGTTTTGAAGAAAACTAGCATATTCCCATTGGATAGGCTGATTTTTTTGGATTCATTTGAGGGACTCAGAAAGTCGACAGCCAACTGTTACATGGCTAAAAATTACAAAGTCACTTGTGTCAGAGTGTGGATAATGTTGGCTTGGCTGTGTGGTATTGTTGCGAGAAGCAGTGGCCCCTCGTACTGTACCTTGTTTTGATGTGTATTTCATTTGAATTTTTGACCTTGCCAAAAATAACAGGAACAGAGAATATCTGGATCAAAACGTAAATAGTGGGAGAATGAAGTACTCGGTCCAGGTTAAAGAAGCAGCCCACTTCCAGTGGAGTCGGAAATTCGGCCATGATCGGCTATGTTTGGGCATAACAGACATTGACTCTTCACCCTTTAGAGTCTTCCCATATATTTACATCAAAGGATAAGCAATACTTCGTACTTTATTTCGAGAATAACTTTAGTTTTAGTTGTCTAACTTACACGATCTTGGGCATAATAGAAAGCCCTCTGTGAGCAAAGTAGAATAAGCTCCAATTGACCACTGTAGAGGGCATATATCCAACGCTATGGCGCCACAAAATATTTTCAGAGCTGGAAATCTGCACTACGCCCAGTTCACTCACTGGTCAGTTGGAGCACTATGGTCAGCTACGTTTGGGCCTTGTGTAAGTCTGGACTTAGCGAATTAATTCTTCATTGCTATTATGTTGGGTCTCGTTTTCTCTGCACTGTGCTGACGAGACCACAAATGACGAAACAATTCTGTCCGGAGATCGAGTAGATATATACATGGAAAGCCAAAAACATGCGGGTTTACTTGCACCTGCAGATTGAGTGCACAGGAGAGAGATAAAACAAGTACCCACCTCGGAATGTTCGTTTGGTGTTCGGCTAGTCCTCCAGGGTATCTGTGTTGGGGGCCTGTGTCTCTTTCTGGGGCTGATGGGCATCTCTACCGAGCTGATGGGCTTCTCTACCGGGCTGATCTGTTCCTTTTCTGCTACAGGCTGCTGCTCTAATGTGGTTTTCTTCAGCTCTGTTGTCAGCCTCTCAATCTGTAAGAAGCCAATCAATTGATATACGACACAAATAGGATTTGCTAGGGTTGAGGATGTCCAAGAAATACAACCTAGGATGTTTTTCGGGTGATTGACTCAAGTTCATTCTCACAACAGAGGCTGAGGGCCTTGGGTGTTGAAGGGTGTACAAATTTTTCAAATTCCCGTTTTCAGAAGAAATAATGCAAATGGTGCTGAGTTCTCCTGGTTTCTGTTTTGACTTCTACGACCTCTACATATTCCAATCCCCTTTTGTCGTTGGTGTGTGCATGCGGTTTGCTTCCGTGTTCTCCGCTGCACGCACGTAATGCCAAGCACGGACTGTTATATGCTTTTCAAACATTCATGTTGTCTTTCTCGCAAGTGCTTCTTCCAGAACTCTTTTCCCTTACCACTTGAGGAACAGTTGCTCTGTGTGTGTGTGGGGGGGGGGGGAGGGTGAGAGCAGCGGAAGAGCTCTCTCGTCGGGATAGACTGATAATATTTCGTATAAAATGCCTCACGACAATTTACCCACTGAGAAGACTCCTGATTGTACTCGTCTCAAGCCAACCAGTTTGTTATCGCACGAGTAGATCACGTCCAAGCCTGCGTCCCGCCATGGACTAGCTATTGCCTTGTGACACCGTCCAAATGACTTCATTAAGAAGATCCTTTCTTTTCCAACACATCCTGACATCTAGAACTTTGCGTGAAAACTTGACCTATGCTGGCTTCCACTCGTGCCATCGTCCCTTGGACAAACCCAGAAAATCTGATCATGGGTGCTCTATATTACCAGTATCTGTTTGGTACCTGGACACACCTATATTCTTACCAACTTCCGCCTCTTTCCGTAAACTTATGAGGAACCACGCCAAGGTAAAATGAATAGAACAACTCTTAACTCACTCGCTCCGGCGATGTCAAAAATACCGGCCTGTCTTGAGGTGCTGCAAGTTCCTTCTTCCGTCTGTGCGTGAGTGCCACCAGTCTGGCTGTGTTCGAGCTGAGCATTTCTGATAAATAGACAAGCAAAGTGAATATTTTAAACTATAAGGAACTTGGATAGAGGGAAGGACAAAATGTTACGAGTTACGACTAATGGTCCGGCAATGAAACCAGATATTAAACATGGAAATGGTCGATGCTGGAATGATGCACAAGTTGGGCACTACAACAAGTAGTTCCACAAGACGTAAATTCCACCGTATATATTGTGATGACTTGTAAGGTGTGCCAATTGTACTTGTTGGTGCAGGGATGAACATAATTTTAGGAGTTGATCGTCTTATTATCTCTATCTGACTCTATATTATCTGGTTACTTTGGTGAACCATTATTCATAACTCGTAAAATGTTTGAAGAAGGGCTGAGGCTTCCTGCAGCTTCATCTGTGAAAAGAATTCGGGTGGACACACCCATTCCCATAGCGCTGCACATCACATCCGAACCAGTTCCGTTATTTTTACAACGTTTCGGCACTTGGCCATCGTCAGGTAATAGCAATGAATACCGTGGAAGCCACACAAGAGCAGTATATACGCAGAGTGTAGCGCCAAAAAATATGCGAATTATGTCACCTAGTGTGCAGAAGGGGGGGGGGGGACAGAGAGAGAGAGAAAAGGCGCAACTAGCACATCACGGAGGAGAAGCAACAGAAGGTAGCGCGCATTGTGCTCTGTGAATGGCGTTACGCAGAGTGTAGCGCCAAAAAATAAAATGATGCGAGTTATGTCACCTCTATACAGAGGGGGGGGGGGGGAGAAGGTGCAACTGTGCACATCACGGAGAAGAAGAGCGAGCGTTCTCTTCAACGTGCAGTGGTTACTGAAGAACGAATAAGTTCCAACGCCAGACTAAATCGGAAGATTTCTGGACTTCGAGAGGCGGATCAATGTGTGGCGGGAACCAACAGCTCACCCCGCGGCCCAACTCCTGTTGCCGCCGTTGGTGTTGCGTCACCCAGTGGGCATACGGCCAATGCTGAGCCAGTCCATGAGCGGGCGTTGGTGGTGGACGACTGTGTGTCCGACCAGACAAGGCGTCTGCTGGAACATGGACCTAGCTTTGTCCCGTCGACGGGGAGGCTCACCAAGCAAGAACGAACAGATGTTGAGACATCGGTAGAGAGGATGGCGTTCACCCTCCGGTGGCAACAGCCCCAGCCTCAGGGTGTGGACCTCAAAGAGGAGGACCCACCGCCAGAGATCAGACAGGACAAGAAATTGTGGAAGCTGATGAAGCGTGGCTTTAAGCAGCCCCCACAGATGGACGACAAAGACGAAAGGAACATGGCCAACTTCCGCGACGAGGTGTTACGGGCTTATGACAAACACACACCCTCCAAGCCCAATCTGACGCAGGAGGATCGGGTGGAGCTGAAGCGACTTCGCACAGACCAAGAAACCATCATCAAACCATCGGATAAAAGTAAAAAACTCGTTGCTATGAGACAGGAGCTGTATTTGCAGAAAGCAGAAGACATATTATCGAACATGACCATGTATGAGAAAGTAGATTTGACCATAGAGTCCTACGATACCAAGACACGAGAAGTAATACTGTCAGAGTGCAAGAACATGGATTCAAAACTCCTAAAGTCAATCCTACCAAGCAGTACGAAGTTCCCCGAGTGGTACGGTCTTCCAAAGAACCACAAGCAGAACTTACCATTGCGACCCGTGGTAGCAGCGTGCGACAGCCCAACGACTGGAGTATCTATTGTATTGGAGCGCATCCTACAGCAGCTCATTCAATTTGTCCCGGCCCACCTGGCTAACACGACGGAAGCTATAACCCACATCTGTGACGCATGTCCGGGATTGAACGCCCCCGATGGCACCATTGTTATGTCCATGGATGTAGTCGGGCTATATCCGAGCATACCTATTCGGGAGAGCGTTCAGGCAGTGGTGGATATGCTGCAGCAGTATTTCCAGCGGATCGACATGTTTGGGCTGAGTGTGAGCGGGGTACGGAATCTGTTGCTGTTTGTTCTCAGCCACAACTATTTCAGATTCGGCCATCAGATCTATCGCCAAGTGGACGGGGTTGCAATGGGTAACAATCTTGCACCCCCATTTGCGATTCTATTTATGCATATGGTTGAGGCCAGGCTTCTGCAGGATTCTCCGTTAGTACCGCTCCTCTACAAACGCTACATCGACGATATCCTGCTGCTATGGACCCACGGCAGAGACAGCTTGATGCGGTTTGTGCAGCATTTCAACTCTGCACACCCAAGTATCAACTTCACATATGAGCTCAGCGAGGTGAGTGGCTCCATAAATTATATGGATATCACAATTATCATCCAGGAAGGCAAGCTGGCACACAAGCTGTACCAGAAGGCATGTGCTAGTGGTCTACTCATTGATTATACTTCGGCAGTTCCCCACCATATCAAATTGGCAGTTGCTTCGTCACAATTCCTAAGAGCTCAGAGGCTCTCATCGAATACCAGAATGCGTGCAGAAAGTGAAGCGAGGGTTCATGAACAATTAAGATTGAACAATTACCCAGAGAGAATCATTGAAGAGGCACGCACTGCCTCCATAAGGCCAAAGCGTCGTCGCCATGCCAACCCATGCTGCGCATTTCTAAAGCTTCCATATAAGTCAGATAAAGTACATCAAGCAGTGAATAAAGCAATCAGAAAGTATAAAATTCCGGTTAGAGTCGTATATGAGCACACTGGTAGCCTGAGGCGCACATTGTGTCGCTCCGCCCTCGTTCCTCCTCTATGTGTCAAGGCTGCAAATCCGCTACAACCGAAAAAGAGAGGTCGCCCAAAGGGGCCGTGTATCTCGTATATATCCGGGGGACAGGATGTATGTATGCAGAAGAAAGTTGTATATCAGCTGAAGTGCAAAGAATGTCCGGAACAATATGTTGGTGAGACTGGCCGCTTTCTGGAAACTCGCCTGGAAGAACACAATGGTGAGGCAAGACGAAAGGAACTCGACAAGCCATGGGGCCAACATTTTCGTACCACTCACCCTGGACGTAAGCTTAACTATGGGCAAAGTGCATTCTCTGCAGTTGAAGTGATAGGAAGAGAGCCTGATCGAGCCCGTCGCAAACTGCGCGAGGCGATTGAGATTCGTGATGCCAAGCCCCATGTGAACATAAGCACCGGATGGGATTTGTTGTGAATTTTTCTCACCTTCCCCTGCTGCTACTTCAATATCACTGAATAATTATAATATGAGGCGGGTCACTCAAATCCATTCTGTTCCTGATGCCTCGTCGCGTCCCTGGTGGTAACAGTTTGGCATGGAAGTTTAACCTCATAGTGCATTGACACATGGGGCTCCGTGCTCCCCTCCTGTGCTAGAATTAACACCATAATTATTTGGCATGTGCCCTCACTTCGTAGAGCACAACGGCGCGCTCTTCTTCTCCCTGATGTGCACAGTTGCACCTTCTCTCTCCCCCCCCCCCCCCCCCCCTCTGTATAGAGGTGACATAACTCGCATCATTTTAGTTTTTGGCGCTACACTCTGCGTAACGCCATTCACAGAGCACAATGCGCGCTACCTTCTGTTGCTTCTCCTCCGTGATGTGCTAGTTGGCCTTTTCTCTCTCTCTGTCCCCCCCCCCCCCCCCTCCTGCACACTAGGTGACATAATTCGCATCTTTTTTGGCGCTACACTCTGCGTATATACTGCTCTTGTGTGGCTTCCACGGTATTCATTGCTATTACCTGACGATGGCCAAGTGCCGAAACGTTGTAAAAATAACGGAACTGGTTCGGATGTGATGTGCAGCGCTATGGGAATGGGTGTGTCCACCCGAATTCCTTTCGTAAAATGTTGTTTTCATTTTTATATTGGATAAATTTGGCAAGGCTACTTGGGCCGCAATACAGAATGCAAGGTGACTTGGGAAAGCACTTCACAGCTTGCCGTTTTGACCTGAGCAAAGCCTTTCACTAGGTATGGCATCAGGGACTGATGGCTTAACTCAAACACTATGTTGTCCAGGAAGCAGCACTGCAACGGTACTCGGCGTACTTGATTGGGCGCAGGCAGCGAGTGCGAGTTTAAGACCACTACATCAGCCTTCCTCCCTATCTCGGCAGGAGTGCCTCAGGGGTCAGTCCTGGGACCACTGCTGTTTCTGGTATACACCATCGAGCTGCCTGCCGCTTTCGATAAATGCCAGCACCAGGTGCAGCCAGTTTGCCAACACCACAGCCCTCGTCTGTTCCAGCAGCTCTGCCGCACACCGCGAACTGCAACTGAAGAGCAGTGTGTCAGCCGCCGTTGGATGATTCGAGCGCTGGCATCTTCTAATCAACACTGCTAAAACGGTAATCCTCACCTTCTACAACAGAAATCCCCCCCCCCCCCCCCCTCACCATCTCCGCAAGCATAGAGCTAAACAATGCACATCTCAGAAATGTCCTGCAACATTGCCACCTCGCCATTGTCTTTCAGCATGACCAAAGATGGACAGCCCACCTTGACTTTGTGCTGAAGAAAGCCGAAAATCATTTAATATTCTCTTTAGGCTCAAATCAACTCTACACACTAAATCACTCTCTCTCTCTCATTCACAAAACACATTTGATGCCTATAATTGAATATGCATGCATTGCTGTCATCCCGTTCTAGATCACAGCCCTTGACCGCCTTGAGCGAATCCAGCGCAAGGCGGCCAGAATTTGCCTCCGCCCCTTCCTCTTCACTCCTCTCAATCATTTTAAGCACTGCTCCATCGGCTCAAATGGCTGACAATGTTATCTCGCCGCAAAGTGAAGCTCACCCTTCTTGCACACTCCATAAAATACCAATATCCCCCACAACACATACGCATGCTTAAAAATACCCGCCCCAGTATAGCCTTCGACACACACGCACTTGGCAACTCCCATCCACCAGAACCGACCGCTGTAAAGACTCCCCACTCTACAAGTCCCCAGAATACTGCAATGCCCTCCCTGCTAGCATTTGTGACAATCCCTCCTGACCTGCTTTCAAACCAGAAAATAATTATGAATTTACTCACTGCTGATTAGCTCAATCTGCTCCTGCAGCGCTCACCCTCTCCCAGACTTGTAAAATTCAAAGTGAAGTAAAGTACTTTCTCACTTCATAACCCCCAGCCCCACGCACAGCATCTCACCTTCTCATAAACTTATCTCTTATTGGTGATGGTGCCATAGTGAGAATAAAGAATTCAGATAACAGACAGCGGTACACTCTAGTTATGGCAGTACCACTGTCTGACACACAGAATACCAAGAGAAAACATCAATGCGTGCAAGCAAAACACGATTGGCGCCCTTTTCAGTACATGCATTACACACATCAAAATCCGTCTATCGGCGCTCAGCTATAAGCACTGCCTGGAACTGTACTCTTGCTGGCCACTTCCAGAATCCAGAATCTTGTATCTTGTTGTCGCCGTTTCTGTGGAGCAATTTTGTTCCGCCTGTTTTTGGTATGTCCAGGCTGACTGGAAACCTGTGAGTTGCCTGTGGCATGACTACGGTCAACATACATGTAGCAGGCCGTTGGAAGCCCTCCAAATGGACGCCAATCACCTTCAGAATGGGCCAATACATTACACTTGTATATACCTATTACAGGGTGCGACAGAGCTTTCGGCCATTGAAGAAAATGTTGAGTCACCTCCACCCTTACACTGCGCTCTTTAGCCGACTAGACCCTCCTGCACACAACCATCACCATTAGCGAAACAGCTGTCTGAAGGAGTTTATCAATATCGTCTACGGAAGTGTCCTCGCAATGGTGATGGTTGTGTGCAGGAGGGTCTAGTCGGCTAAAGAGCGCAGTGTAATGGTGGAGGTGACTCAACATTGTATATACCTCATTATAATAAAAAATATATGTATCGTTGATGGCAAACAGGACTTTGTGTTTATAATAATAATAATACCACAGCACGCGTAATATTATAATTATGTGGGTATAATTATACGTTTCGCTTCTGTCCTATCACCTATGATCAAATTCCATTATCAAGATAATAATTAACACGGCGCACTGATGACCTGTGACGCCAGATCATGGATTGTCGGCCAGATTTCTCCATGTAGGCTTGTCCAGAGCGATGGCCCTCACATTCCCCAGCTGACTGCTGCGCTTCAAGTCGATGTTCCTCCTCTGTAAGTCGCTTGTGATGCGCGTCGCAATGGATGTCCTTGGACGTCCACGCCCAGCCTTGGCATCTCCTGCAAAATAGCTCGTCAGCGCGATCCATGGCGGCGCATCCCTGTCCAGGGTATATTCTAGGACGAATCTCCAACCGGTTACGGTCCAATGAAGAGTGGGGGGGGGGGGGGGGGGCAGCAATTTAACAGATTTCTTGGTGCTGGTGTGTAGCAAAGATATAAGCAGAGGAAATGGACTATGGATGGATGGTTGCTACAGCTCGATGACGCGGTTCGACCGTACAAACTCGTGACCCTAGTACCAGCCCACGCGGCTTCCCTGGAAGTATCCGTCCAGAAAAAAGCGTTTGACCATTCACAGCTCCATTCACCCACAGAAAAGTACGGGCGGTTGGAACTGATTTGTAACTTTTCAACCGGTCGCCAACAATTTCAACCGGTCGAAAACCGGTTGGGGCGGTTCTAGAAAATTCCCTGACTGTCCATACGGAGAATATGGCCGGTTAGCTGCCATCTTCTCCGGTCCACGATGTCAGATAGTGGTTCCGTGTTGCACCTCTCATACAGCTTAGTATTTGATATCCTGGCTGGGTAGACTATGCCAATGAGCCGTCGGAGCTGCTTCAGGTGGAAAACGTTAAGCGATTCTGCTTGTGCTGCCGTGAGCCCCCATGCGCCGCAGTTATACAAAAGAACGGGCAGAACCAGGGCATTATACAGGCGGATGCGCCTCTGCTCACTGACCTTCCCACGCCTCAGCCAGAGGCTATACATCCTGCCGTATGCACGCGAAGCGAGATCTTTCCTCCGCTCCAGGTCCTCACTGTCGCCAATGAGGGACCCTAGCTGCCTGCTGGACCGCCAGGAGTCTGAAGTTGATATCAGATGCAAGAATTGTGTTTATAGCTGTTGGTAAAATAGCCTGTTATCAATTCGGACCACAATGAGCTGTACACATCGAAGGGCAGATCTCACACCCTCTCCCTGGTCACCTTTGGCTGCCCAACAGATGTTAGGTACTCAATCCCTGATGGGTTTCCTGGGGATGGGAGTGATCTTCAATCAAACTGGAAATCGAACCCGTAAGCGCATGTTTGGAAGGTCATTTCTCCAACCACTTTGCGAAGCAGGCACAGCTGCACAGTGTCCTATTTTCATCACCTGTTTACCTTCTCGCAATTTCAAATTTGGACTTCACAGCAGTCCAAATTTGAAATTGCAAATTGTATTTGCTCGCAGTGGACATAGTTTGATGCGCTCCCCATGATATCAGGCGAATGGCCGAGGGCCCTCTTGATTGGTGTGAGTTGCCAGCATGATGCAAGCCAGATGTGGATTGATCGAAGAAGGATAGATTTACCATCACTGTGGATAAGAGTCATACTGTGGCTCAGTTGGTTAGAGCATTGCTCGCGAATAGCAAGGTCCCTGGTTCGAGTCTCGGTGGTGTGACTGATGATTTTTTCTTTCTTTCATATCTGGCTTGCAAGTGTTGAGTTTCGGAGAGAAAAGAGCAGTACGTGGCATGTGGCCTCTAATTTCCTAAAATGTTTACCTTCTCCTTTCCAGTAATCCATTCTTATACTACTCGCAATGATTATTATGAACTTACTGTTAGCAATGGAAGCGCTGATTGCTGTCAGGAAATTCTGGTCTTTCCTGTGTGACCCCATTATGGCTGCCAGCACCGACTGGAAATCCATACTACGGTCATTCAGCTGATCATATTCCTGCTGCGAAATGTGGCGTTCAGCAGCATCAGCTGTGTCAGCGCGCCTCGAAAACTCCATCTCATTTACCTCGCTCTCATATCCATACTTATCCTTGTCATAGCCCTGAGGTAGATCCTCAACATCAACATCCTCATCCTCGTCATCGTCATAGTCCTCTGACAGCTCTCCATCATCATCTAGCAACTCGTCTAAGGCCATATTGGAGCTGCTAGAGTTGCCTAAGGGTACAACAGTAGGAAGACAGACTTCATTTCAAGAACAAAGACAGAACTACTTTGAAGTATGCCAAACCTGGTTTGGACCAGTTTTCGACTCAAACACTATCAATCTTGTTTGCCGGAGGTTAAATCGAGCAGTAGACTACCAGGAGTGCTCAGAAAGAATTAGGACTTGAAAGTGTTATGTCACAACCAGTCCAGAGCCATGACAACTCAGACTTTTGGATCCACTAGGATCCTTTTTTGTATGGATCTATACACATTTGGGTGGCTCTCCTACACAGCACAGTGATACATCCATTCTAAGTGACTGCACTGGGCTTTCCCGGACAGGGACCCACTCCTGGTACAGAAAATGTCACACCTATGGGCAGTCGAGGGAATCCCGTGTTCAGGGAACATTCAGGTTTTTACACGAAAACTTAAGGCGTTGATATGCAGACTGACAAGTACGCACGGTGAAATCACACCGTGCACCCGTGTGAGCCCGCGGCCGGAAAAAATGAAAGATGAGTGCGCCTGAAGGGCTTCTGCTCTCGTTGAAAAAGATATGGCACAATTTCGATTAGCCTTGAAATATCAGTCCCTCTTTTGGTAACTTGGCGGAGGTAACTCCAAAACTGCGGAGGTTGTACAGTGTTTAAGCCTTTACTAAAAAGGGTTTCAGGAGGTTTTGCCCGGAGGAAATTTGATATCTGCCATGTCGTTCGAGGGAGAGAAGTGATGAGAAAAAACCCGTTTTAATTTTCAACATTATGTCATCATGGCCAAGATATCGAGGAAGAAGAGAAAGTCTGGAGGTTCTCAATGCCAGTTTACATGCAAGGATCCATTCCACGATGAGTGAGAATCGCTGCTGCATAGCTCGAAGGATGCTCGGGTCGACAAATGTATCCTGACAGTGTTATCAGGGCTTTCTGGATGAGACGTGTCTGCAATTTGTAGGAGTTGCGGACGACTGGTTGACTCGAAGGATTTATTCACCAACCACCCTTTGTACGAGCATTCGAGGGGCGCTAGCTGTGGGGATTCTGTAGATGCCAGCAATGATGTTCCTCTCCCAGAGGTAAGCTCCTGCGAATCCACCGATGATATAGATGCTTCTTTTCCCCATGTCTCCAGCCAGTCCCATCTAAAAACCTCCTCAGCCTCAAACGAAGTAGATAATGTTGATAATTTATACAAAAGAAAAAGGACCAAGGAACCACAAGTTACGCTATAAATGAGCGTTAGCATGCTAACAAGAGTTAGCAGCCAGCCCAGCGAGCTGGCCCAACCTGCACGCATGCGCGAGTCACTTGGGCACGCGCCCTTCAAAATCCTGTACAATGTCTCTTGCATGTCATTGCTGTTTGGACTTTCGAGCGTGCAACTTGCGGAACATGTGGTCCCAAACAATTTCCTTTCGTTTATACTTTCAAGCTTGCATTCTCGTATCCCTACGTTTCAAATTCAGACTTCAATGACGCCTGTTGGTGCCTGAAACAATGTCGTCGTCTACAGTGGAACGTCGACAGTGGACTTTTAGCTTGCGCCATCATCAGGTTCCTGATATGAAGTACCTCCACACGATCTCAGCAACCCTTGTTTGTGCATTGAAACAATGTCGTCGTCACCAACCGGCGTCCAGCCTCTCCGGATCTCCTCGCTCTACCTGGCTCCGCTGCCCGCTAACACCACCAGTTACTAAACAACAGTTACTAAACAATCAGCTCATACGAAAGAATTGCACGACACTGACCAACGGTGGTGTTTGTGGACAGTATAGCGTAACTGGTAGTTCCTTGGTCCTTTTTCTTTTGTATAAATTTATCCTTGGCTCTCCATCTGAGTCCACTGTTGATAATGTTCATAATACTGATTCCTTGCAGCGTTTAGAGAGAGAGAGAGAGAGAGAGAGAGAGAGGAGAGAGAGAGAGAGAGAGAGAGAGAGTGTGTGTGTGTTGGTGGCCAAAATGTGCATCGGCTGCAATGTACAAGATGCATTCCCACAAGGATTACAAAATTGAATTACTTGAAAAGGAAATAATTAATCTGAAAAAGGAAAGTGTAGGCTCACTATTAGCACTTCTGAGCACCTCGGAAGATCTGCCCCAAATGTTGCACACAGATGGAGCGCAGGCTGCATTTGTGTCCTAATGCAACGTGCAGGGTAAATGTTAGGCAGGCATTGCAAGATGACCAAGGCAAATCAGTGGTTTCGACCCAGCACCCCAAAGTCACCAAGCCAGGCACACGAAAGTCAGTCACCGAATTTGTGTATGTACCGGATGTGGACAGCAGTACCAGTGTTTCGTTGACCAGAGTGTCCTCAAAGACCAGTGGTGAAGATGTACCCCTTGTGTCCCTGGCAGATGTTGGATTTTGTTTACCCCTACTCCCACGAAGCTGTTTGCATTGTGTTGTGCAATGTTGTGAAGCGTGCAAGGGTAAAACAATGATTAGGTGACGAGGGGTGATGGAATGGCCCACTGTTGTGTGTAACAGCTTGCCATATTGACTGTGATGGAGGAGCCAAGCACAATGCAGCCGAATTGGCTAACCATGAAGCAGGAATATCGCATGTCGACTCAATGTCAAAGGCTGATCTGAAGAGTGCATGTAGTGCAAGAGGCTTGGGGGTAACAGGGAACACGAGTACGTTACGTGAGAGGCTGAGAACGTTTTCAGATGATCTGGTTGAGAAGGGTGAATTGACGCCCCGACAAACATTCCTGATGGGGAGTTTGATTGGGTACTCCAGTACTGCCCATTTCACATGGCTTGCACTGGGAGATGAACATCATTCAGTGCACTGTCAAGTATCTGTGGCTATTTGCCTACATAGGAGTTCACTATTAGCCAGGGATATACTATGTCTTCTTCCAGGCAATTGGATTGAGTCTTCAAAGCCAAAAACCATCACCGCACATATGATGAGCTGAGCCGTTTCACAGATAGCTGCTGTAAAGCCACATTTTGTTTTTTCTATGTTTCTCCTCACCGCCCGCGTAGGTTTTCAGAAAATTCGGAAGAAAAAAACGTTCATGCTTGTACCGTAAAATCCCGCCAGAGCGCCCCGTCTCTCCCATCCGCCCCTCCCTGACTTCTTGTCAGGAAAGTGATTGATTGTATCCTCGTATGACTCTGTCACAGTCTGTGATGCCGTACTGTACTGCAGACGCGTGCTCAACCCCGTTGGAAATGTACGCAACAGTGCCAATCCTCTTGACCAGGGATCGCACAACCCTGAAATTTGATGGGTCTGTACGACTCCTGGCTCTTGACCTTTGGTCGATGCACGAACAGTTTTCGTAGGTGAGTACTTTTTCATGTAGTACTCAATGCGGCAAGTAGGACTCGCCCATCCGCCCCTCCCCACCTGAAGCGTCGAGGAGGTAGGGGCGCTCTGGCAGGATCTTACGGTACATGTACATGTATGAACGCTGCACATGCTGCAGCAGCTAGATGCGTCCATCAAAATCGTGAACGTTTGCACCACAGCTAGCAGCAAAGGAGCACTCCCTATCCGTTCTCTGCGATGAAGGCTGCCGTAACGAAACTTTCAGTCGTTCACTGCCTGAGCCTCGCGGGTCCCAGGAATACCGTAAATCGGACGAGTTCCGTGGAAACTGGCGTCTGTGGAACGATGTTGTGGGCAGAAAAACCAAGCAATGGACACATGGCAAGGAAAAAATGAGCAGCGTGGAGACAAGAGTTTGATAAGCGGATACAAGAACGTTGAAGTAACAAAACGAAAATGACGAGTGGGAACGCGTTTGTTGATGCGATAGCAGATAAATGTATGTTCTCTTCGCCATCTCGCAATGAAACTTTATACTCTCAATGTCGCAGTTTGGCTGATATTCGTGGGCTGATGTGATAATGTAGTGCAATCATGTACTATGGGATCACATGATTATACAATGTACAATGTAGTACTGTATAGTATACATGGCAGTGTCTTGTAATAATCACACATACATAATGTACACAGTCTTGAGTAGAAATTGTTCTAGCTTTTTCTTGGCTTTTGTTTTTTTCGCCCACCCGCACACCTTTTGTTAAAATTTGCCGACGAGAAACATAGAAAAAACAAAGTATGGCCTAATACGAACTTCTGCGGCCGCATGTACTCGCCCAGGATCTGGCAGCAACCCACCCCATTCAGCAGAGGGTTGCTTCGTTTGGCGCAAGCAGTTCACCGACAATCACACGTATTCCTGGCTGCTGGAGCTGTGCACTCAGTACTGTTTTCCGCTGTTCATGTTTCGGCGGGGAGCAAGGCACAAATTAATCTGACGGCCCCAAGTGGTCCTGCTATCTGCTTGCACACCTTTTTTTCATTTGAGACACTCTGTTCTCAGTCCTTGCTTCCATACCTAACTCGTTATCTGGTTCACATCTGGCTGCGGCTAACTACCCTTCAATTGATGTGTTGTCGCTATTGCTGTCTATGTCTCTGTGCGTGCCAATATAAGGAGCAAGAAGTTGTATAACATTGCCTTAGTTGATCATTTTATGGAGGTGCATTTTCATGTTGTGCATACCAGTGCTCCTATTCAAAATAGTTCAGTGTGATGTTTGTTGGCTACTAGCATTGTTCTGTTGTCCAGAAAGTGTCAATTTCTAATGCCACACTTATAATATTATTTCAATGTTGACATTCTGAGGTGAATTGATACCAGACTATTGTGTTTTAACTCAACAAGTATCCAACAGGTGATGTTTGAAGGACCAGCATAGTCCAATTTTATTTTTTATTTCTTCAGTCGGGCTCGTGGTGGGATCTGGGGTGGCCATCGAGGTGGGATAAGAACTGCTGCTTTTTGCAGAGCTGTTGCTGTTGTGACACTTGTCAAGCTGGTGCAGGGCAAAATCTCGTCCCCAGGGTGCGAGCTGCACGTGTGTCGAACTCCAGAAGGAGAGACCACCACGACCAAGACCTTGGCTCCACTTCCAACATGCAACTCTGCGGCCTACAGAACACAAAGGAAGCGAAGTCTTCATGACCAATTACGCAAATTCAGAATTATTCTCCTGCTGTCACTTGAAATGAGGCCAGTTACTTCGTTATGTAGACTTTTCTTCTCCGGAGCCATCGGATATCGAACACTGCGAAGAAGCTTGAAAAATCACCACTGATCACTCGAGAAACAAGCAGGGATCTATTTTCTGTAATTTGTTTGGATAGCAGTCACTGCTACACAGTTTTACAATTGACTAGCAACTTCCAGCATTGATTAGCAGTTTTCCTTCATCGAAAGTTTACATGTATATGTATATCTGTACAATAGCAGGATTTTGTACAGAAGAGGACAATAGCTGCAGTTGCTATTTGCTTTTCCAAACGAACGGTTGACCTGAATATTTTACGTTAGGGTTTTTGCTTGGGCTCGTTACATGTTCAGCGTCCATCCGACTTCGAATTCTTCACAACACAATGTCCTTCAACAGGGCAGTTCCACTTATTCCTTCCACAAAGAACGCTCAGGGAAGCGCTCAAACGATCGTGACACATCGTTCAAAGCGCACAGAACTTTCGCTTTTCTCCTTTTCTTCATCGAAACAAATCGACACTCCTGGCGCGTCCAGTTCTTTTTCCCGCTTCTGGACAGTGATCAGATTCACTGACATGTTGGCTACATGAGACTAAGAACCATCTACTTCAACTGTGTCTTGTCGAACAGAAACAAACTGAATTGAGCTTGACAGTGAAAAAAGAAAGGAGAACTTCTGGGAACGTCACCGCCGTGTACAAAACTTAAAAAGACTGCAAACTGTGCAGTCTTGTACGACCGGTCGACCAGTGCTATAGCAGTGGCTAGTGCAGTGTCCAAAATCAAACAGAGCGCGATCCGCGACCCGAGCGCGGCCTGAGCAGGACAGGCCAGTTGATTGGAGTAGTAAAATGCTACTCCCTAGTCAGCAGTGTGTACAACAGTCGCATGCAATCTGAACACAAACAGTACAGAATGGTCTTTGTACATACCGGTATGCATGGCCAGCACATCACTGTTTTGGGCGATAAAAACGAAAAGCGAATCGCAGCCAGTGAATTCTGATTCGCAAACTGCGATGCGAACCCGGATAAATCGATCCCTGACAAGACAAGGCTTTCGACTTTTTTTTAATTTGGCGCACGGACTGTACTCAGAAAATATTCACCAAAATAGCGTTGTCATCTTTTTTCTGGTGCGGTCTGCGGAGGTAAAAAGGGCCGAGGCTGGGAAGGCGCTACGCGGGACTACGGATCACCATGATCACCTTGGCGACTAGACAATGTCAAGTGCAGCAGTAGTATTCCCTAAACAAGGAATTCCCAGGACTGATTATGCAACACGAGGGGTCCACTCATCACACACACATGTACGCAGAGGCAAGCAAGCAAGAACGCATGCACGCACGCACACACACGGTTGGACATACACACATACACACATGCATGCATACATGCACACACACACTTAAACATGCACCCACACGTGCATACACGTGTGCACAAACGTACACACACAAACTCAGACACACACACAAACACACACACAAACACACAAACTCAGACACACACAACCTGAGACACAGAAAAACACACAACACATAATAGCAATACCTGTTATCTCTCGAAAGTCAATTATGGTCAATGAGGAGATGTCAATGATTTGAAGTATATCCAGGCCTCGCAGCAGTCCAGGATAGTGTACTGCAAGGAAGAGTAGATGACCCAGTGTCCTCATTGGTAGCAGCAGTACCACCTGGATGGAATCCCAGTCGCCTTTGTAGATGACCTGAATTTGATTCTTGGAGAAGGTAAGGTCCTCCAGGTCCTCAATCACTTCCCTTCGGATCCTATGTTTAGTGTAGTCGTCAGGTTGTCCGTTGATGATGATTTTGACCAATGTCCTAATATCTCCTCCTGCAGGACACATGTAGATTCACATGCATGGCCGCACACACAAACAGACACATGCTCACATACACACACACACAAACAGACACATGATCACATACACACACACACACACACACACACACACACACACAAACAGACACATGCTCACATACACACATACAAACAGACACATGATCACACACACACACACACACACACACACACACACACACACACACACACACACACAAACAGACAGACACATGCTCACATACACACACAACAGACACATGATCACATACACACACACACAAACAGACACATGATCACACACACACACACACACAAACAGACACATGCTCACATACACACATCACACCCATATAAACATGCATTAAGAGTAATGTAGGTCTGCACACGCACATGCCCACCCAGACACCTAAGCCAGCAGCAATTCTGGTTGGCACATGGGTGGCGCTGAGCTCATCGTGAAGATGGCTACATTTATGTGTGGTCTGCACCGCTCTTAGTAACTTCTGAGTCTGGGTACTGATTGCATGGATACAACAACTTCTTGCAATGCTTAGAATTTGTGCTTTCCCATCGACTGCACTTGAAGTACACAGTGATTTCAAAGCGCCATCATGCACTTTTCTCTCTCTGCAGATGCCTGGCTGATGTACAAGATCTCGAAGAGAATTGGTGAGCACACATGCTCATTCCCTGGGCACTGCAAATTCACAACTGATTTCATGTTACAGAATCATTTTCAACGTTTCGGCAAATTGCCTTCATCAGGACGCAATATGAAGTGGAAGTCTGCCAAGGAGCAGTTATATACACTAATTTGGCGTTCTTAGGTGTTGCTAATATTTCTATGACTGCACATGTTACCTCAGTGCTAGAAATATGACATGTCTAAAACTAGTGAAAGATCACAAGTTTTCACTGACTCATATGCTGGGTGTTGGTAATAAGTTAGCACAGCGCAGATGTCACCAGATAACTTGAGACATGTCTGAACAGGTTTCTCGCAAGCAATACACGAATGTGACCATGTCAGTGTTTTCCAGAAAATACTGTCACCTAGGTAGCCAGTGTGGTGTGACTGTTTTAGAGTAATGACCATCCAGCACCGGTGTTGATCTCTGGGCCTTCGTTTCTGATCTCTACTGTCTCCCGCAATTTGCGGCTTGCCCTGTCACTGGCTCTTGCAACCACAGACACTGCCGAGAAGATGCTGTCCCCGACACCTAGGTTGATCCCCGCATGCTTAGCTCGCATGTGGTCACCCCATGGCTTATCCACAGTGGGACCTGTTCAGACATGTCGCAAGTTATCTGGTGACATCTGCGCTGTGCTAACGTACTACCAACACCCAGCATATGAGTCAGCGAAAACTTGTGATCTTTCACTAGTTTTAGACATGTCATATTTCTAGCACTGAAGTAACATGTGCAGTCATAGAAATATTATCAACACCTAAGAACACCAAATTAGTGTATATAACTGCTCCTTGGCAGACTTCCACTTCATATTGCATCCTGATGATGGCAATTTGCGGAAACGTTGAAAATGATTCTGTAAAATAAAATGAGTTGTGAATTTGCAGTGCCCAGGGAATGAGCTTGTGTGCTCACCAATTCTCTTCGATTTATAAAGCTGCAGGATGCCTCCCCGCTACTTCGTTTGATGTACAAGATGATTATGTATATCTACTATCACCAGCCATGCATCGATCACTGCACATGCAGTAGCCATACTTAAACATCAGGTACAAATGTACATGGTTGGTTTGAAATCATCCTGGAGCAGACACTAGTATTGGTCTAAAAGCCTGTGGCTGAGTACAGTAGTAGAATTTGTCCTACTTAGCTGTACACATTCAGATATACATGAAAACGGTAGAGAACGGGATATTACAAACCTTTTCCTTCAACACGTGTGAGCGCAGGATCACTTCTTCTGCTCGTAGATTTGATTCTGATATTAGTCTCATTGAAGTGCTGCTTAGATAAACTGTCCAAGATAATTCCATCACAGTCAGCAGATGTCCTGAGTTTGCTGTCCATAAAAACCGTGACTCGAGCATTGCGCAGATCATCTTCTGTCCATTCTGGTCATACACATAGTTGAGGAATTAATATGGAAGAAAGCACAACATACATCCGCCGTTAATTTATTGCAAACCTGAGTAGCCGATGCACAATATTGGGAATCAAAATATTCATGATCCAAGAATTTAGCATCAAGGTGTATTCTGCGTCACACAAGGCGAATCTGAGCTGTGATATTCCAGCATATGATTAGGTCCTGGTCAGCCTTAGTTCCAGTCAGAAATCACCTGGTTTTAATGTGCCACTTCCGTTGGTACTCAGTTCATTCAAACAGCAGTATTGTATGAAACATTCTAGTCAAAGAAGGTGGATATCGTAGAATGGCTAACTGATATCGTAGAATGGCTAACTGATATCGTAGAATGGCTAATTCATATCAATGTTCATCTGGTGCAAGTTTGGGTTCAGAGCAAGAATGGACCCGTTGACTCTGTCCAATCCTTCTTTGGGGGGTGGGTTGACCAGATCCGAATTCATGCCACCTGGATCCGGATTCTAACGATCAAACAAGTCCAAAGACTGCGAATCCGGATCCCAGGCCCACGGATTTGCACAATATGCGAGCCGAGCCAAGCAAAAAGGTGGCTTAGGCATAATTTTTGGAAATTTCTTTTTTCATGCCAAAGTGTCTACCTCTCCAACTTCCATCAAGGAAATTTTGGTGCCCATCTGCAATGTATATGTGCCATAAATAAGCATACATTGCGCACATGTCACAGCATGCCTGGTATCAATGAAACTAAGATCATAATTATGAACACCTGCCCAAACTCCAGAAAACATGGGACACCAAGTGGAGACAAAGCTTAGCAGGTGTGGAAGCAATACAAGAAGAACGAGCACTTGTGTTCTGATTAAAGGATCCAAGAGAGAAGAAATAATTGATCTATGTATCTCATGTCATTTCATCGCGCAAAAAGAATTTTCATACCCTTCAATGATTTGGGGAGTCTGTGACTATATTTTTGCTGGACTGGGAAATGTAGCATCTTACCAAGACAGTCCATCATCCTCTCTCCAATCACCTACACCAGCATGAATTAATCCTTTCTTGCAGCTCGTAGTGTTGTGCCAGAGATCGAGCTCCATTGGTCTCTTGCACGTAGGTCCAGCAGATTGCACATCGCTAAAAAGCGGCACTGATTCTTTGTCCGTCCTAGTCCATGTCATTCTCCTTCCCTGGTGTAGGTAGTGGTACAAGCACCACGGGACGATATGCAAGAGGTTAAGGTCAATGCATCGCTTCGTCGTGTAGCACTATTGGCCTTGAAATGAGGAAAATTTGGAGTATAGTACGCTACGCCATGAACATTTGAAGGTACCCGAAACAAAGTGAAACATCGCAGCAAGATCCAACTCACTAGGGAGCTTGTCAGAGTGATAGTCGGACAGCTTGTAGACGTCTTCACATAGGTATACCAGCCGCTCTAGTCGTGGCCACGATGAGAACCACAGGCACTATGAATGAGCGAGTTTTCCTCGTCAACTAGGGTTGGGCGCACACGGAGAGAGAGTGTCATCCTGCTCGCCTCCACTTCCTCCAGAACGCTCCATTACGATCTCTGGCACCGCCGAGAAATCCCCACAACGATGAAAGAGGGAACACTGAAGAAGTGTTGCTCAAAACTAAAAGGCCTCTTCCTTCTTCTCCACTTGCAAACTACAGTGGTCCCTCTATAATCCGGCACCATTTGTGCCACGAAAATCTGCTGGATTAGGGAGGGTGCTGGATTAACAAATCTGATTTACTGCTGCAATGTACATGAAGAGGACATTTTGGCTACTGAAAATTGTGCTGGTTTATCGAGGGTGCTGGATTATAAAGTGCCGGATTAGAGAGGGACGACTGTATTTACTTGAAAAGATGCTCGAAAGTGAATATTTTCGAGACTGCGCTCGAGTAGAATTTTGCCGACTGTGACGTTTTGGTGATTTTCTCGATTTGTTGGCAAAACGCTAAGCCACTTTTTAGCTTGGCGCGGCTCATATCCTAAATGCCCACTTAAGGCATGCCCTACATACCTTACCTTCGGTGTCTGAGCTAGCAGCAGAGCCGGAAAACCCTGAGTCACCTTCAGACATTTCGGGGCTGTCCAGGAGGAACTGAGACTTCTGCAGCAGAGAGGCCTGGGAATCTGGAACACACAGAAGAGCAAATCGGAACAGCCACATTGGAGCAGTCACTTGTGCATAGAGTTTGAAATCTTCTCTACTGATGTTCTGTGAATTCAGGTCACCAGTTATGGCAACTAAAGTTAGAGAGAATGTATATGAGCCGCAATCAGCGAAAACGACCCTTAGAGGTTTCGTAATTTTTTCAAGAAAAAGGTCGATTTGTGACGTTCAACGATTTTTTGATCGCGCTGCAAACAGCGCGACGAGTTCTTAGTGTTCCTTGATCTTGTTGCGATGGCTGCGGACGCCAGAGCTGTTCGCAGAGCACACGCGACAGTCATTGTGTACAGCTAGCTCGAGCCTGGTAGGGAGTGGATGCTGAAGTAGCCGCTGAAGTTCAGAGTGAGGATGAGACGTTCTTTGGTTCCGACATCGATGTCGACAGCGAGGCGGGATCGCAGCCGTCATCTCCTGCTGCGTTGCGGCTCAAGGCGGTCGATGACTCGTTAGAGTCGGAAGATGAGGAGTCAGCACCTGAAATAAATTCTGAGTCTGGGGCTAGTGACGGCATCGACGTCGTGTCGTCAGCTGCGGAGGAGGAAATGGAAGACATTGCGGAACGACTCCACGCAGGATGCAGCTACAAATAAGTCGATCATGTCTCCGCACTCTTCAGCTATTCTTTGTCATTCTAGCTGCTTACTGCACTATTTCAAAGGTATTCAAGCTGCCTACCCACCTTAGAATGCTGAATATTTATTGTAAACATACAATGTATACATACATTGCACCAATTTGGAGTACACCTTGTATTTTGGTGTATACACCCGTTTTGAATCGTAATATTGAACTTTTTCTTGGCTGAGGTCCTTCAGTAGATGTGTTTCAACAAATTTCTAACCAAAAAGGAATTTTGAAAAATTCGACCCTAAGGGCTGTTTTCGCTGGTTGAGGCCCATATGAGTAAAGTCACACACAAGAATACTTCCTCTGTGCAGAGAGTGCTCGATACCCTCATATCTCCCTCTCCCTCTCCCTCTCCATCCCCTCCCCCTCCCCCCTCCCCTCCCCTCCACCTACCCTCCCCCTCCCCTCCCCTCCCCTCCCCCTCCCCCTTTCACGCAATTTGAGCAAACTTGCGTCCCCTATTGTGAACTGTTATTCTTTTGGGCACTGTATCGACTCTGTCACCCTGTGGTTGGTAGTCTTGGCAATCACTTCCAAAATATTTGAGGACCCCAGTTGTCAGAACCCTAGAGTTTTAGAACTTTCTATTTGCCTTTTTTAGCATTTCTATGCAGAGTACCATAGGCAAGGCCCAGTAGGGCTGAATGGGATAAATGCAAATTCAGCTGCAACCATACAACAGCCTCATGCTAAACGCGATCCACATACAAAGTTTGAACTCGGTGCAAAATGATGAATGGCCAGCAATCAAGGACATCTGAGAGTTGTAATTTTTGGTACTCCTCCGAGGTGTGATTTTTGGCGTGCTGGGCCAAGCACAAGGAAGCCATCTGCAAAAAAACTGCAGAAAATGGTTGTTGTTTGATCCTTTGGTGTAATCTTTGTTTCTAGTCGAAGCTAGTTGCTGTTTGGAGCAGAAACGCTGAAATTGACTATTTTCTGCATGTACTCAGGCATGCAGTCTCACTCGTATTTTAGCTATTTTTCTGGAATGGATGCTGCTCTGCGCCCCTTGGTGAACATTTCCTGCGCTCGTGGAGCAGCTGAAAAGGACCACTGGTATGTCTGGTTCCTGGTTTGAAAGTGGAGAGTCGACTTTTGTGCCTTGAAAAAGGAGTAGAGAGCGATAAAGGTACGTCTGTGGCTGATTTTTGAGTGCTCCTCGTACATTTTTGATCGTGATAGAAATTCTCAGACCAAAGTCAGACCAAAGTCAGCGCGATGATGGTCGTACAGTTTTCTTGTGAATTTTTTAGTTGTTTCATCTCGTATCTATGACAGTATCGTGATGGTGAAGTGGAGAGGGTGATTTTCGTCCTCTAGGCTTCGTTCGGCCGACTTTGCTTCGTCCTCGTTGAAAAGTAATCCTGAAAAAAAGGTCGATTCGCAAAATTATGTTGATTTTCAATGTACGAGATGACATGCGATTGCTGGCTATGTTTCATACAGTTACCGCTTCATGGTCAACGACTTCCACTAGCACATCCACATTATAGATAACAGGTATACAAGCTTCCAAGGACATACCGCTTACCTGGACTGGTACGAGCCATACTTGGAGCTGACACATAGTCAATATGCCTGGACATTTCTTCGGTGAATGCTCTACCAACATTGCTTAGTAGGGCCCTCTTGGCTTGCGGCTCGAGAGGCAGTGAAGAAGCATGTCTTACTACTGCAGCTGCTGCCAGCTGTGCCGTGTTTTCAAGGTGGACTGACGCTTGTGGCTGTGTACTCTGCTGCAATGCAGTTCCTCTCTCAGCAGCATTACCAACAGCAGCACACCTGCCAGTGCTAGTGTTAGCTGAACTGGCAATGGGATGTGTTGTAGTGGCTTGGGTGGAGGCACTCAAACAGGTCTGGCTAAGACCAATTGTAGTCTCTGCCGTAGTAGAAGGACCTGACATTGATGATGGTAATCTACCAGGGGAGGAGCAAGCTAAGGCTGCACCGAGCTGCAGAGCGAGAGGTTGCTGTGCACCTGCCACAAGTACACCAGCACAGAGACATGTCCGCATCCACAAACCGATTATGTGATTTCAGGTTGCTACATTTGTATAAGCATGCAAACACACATACATCAAATTCCATTGATTTTATTAAAGAAGGTTTCCATTTTGAATGGCCGGTGTCATGACACCTCAGTACATACCAATGTTTTCAAGTCTATTTCACATTCACCATAAAGCTAACGAGACAGGACGTAGAAAATGTATGGGTGGCTGGGGTGACCTGTAGACGGTCTTACTATCCGTACAGTATGACATGCAGCAGCTATTGCAATAGCCAACCTAACTCATCGTGAGGTATAAAGCTGTGGCCCATGATCAGTTGACTCAATGCCTTTTAAATTCTTGTTTTTCATTATTCAAATGGTAACCATAAGAATTGTTTTATGACGTCGTCTGACACACTCCTATCTCTAATTCCCTCCCCCTCCCCCTCCCCTCCCCTCCCCCCCCCCCCCCCTTTCACGCAATTTGAGCAAACTTGCGTCCCCTATTGTGAAGCGTTATTCTTTTGGGCACTGTATCGATTCTGTCACCCTGTGGTTGGTAGTCTTGGCAATCATTTCCAAAATAATTGAGGACCCCAGTTGTCAGAACCCTAGAGGTTTAGAACTTTCTATTTGCCTTTTTTAGCATTTCTATGCAGAGTACCATAGGCAAAGCCCAGTAGGGCTGAATGGGATAAATGCAAATTCAGCTGCAACCATACAACAGCCTATAGTCAGTTTCAAAAAGATTAGCAATCCTGGCGATCGCCCAGGGAGTTTGAGTCTTACCGTATGAGCGCTCGAGCGCTGCCTGGAAAAACTCACTGTGAACTCAAAGAAATATTCCGCGCGAAAGTATGAAAAATGACAACTCACTGACCTCGGTACTCGTACATGTTCGTCTGGTATACAACAAACGAGTTCTTCCTCGCATCGATATGGAGTCAAGAGAGGACATGTTGAAAGTGTGGTAAATTTTGACGAGCGGGATGCGTCCGTTTTGTGACCAAATAGATTCTTGGAGTTGCCGCGGATGCAATTTACTCTCACGATGTGGCGAAAACAGCATCGACACAGACTCATTCGCAAGGCCTTGAAGTGGCAAAGCTATCCGTGTGGCTTCGACGACATTTTAAGAAAAGCAGACGCCTGTAAAAGCTGATAGAAGACGGCGTTGACTCCTAAATTCAAATAAATTGGCGATCTTCAAATACTAAAATAATTCTCAAACAAAAATCGATCCATCGATGTGCCGGTGTATTCAACAACACGTAGCTACAGCGCAATGACTTCCATGTTCACTCACACGGTTTCAGTGTTGCGTGTGTTCACAACTTCACATGGCGTGAGCCAGTCAAGTGTCAGTCAGTTCGGCAGGAGGCGCGAGCTCCAACAACAAGTCGTTTGGCGCAGCCACCTTCTTTGTCTTGTACCAGCGTGATCACCAAAACAATGAAAAAATGAAGAAAAAATGTTTGACTTGAAGATTTGTTGGGATTTGAACTCACAACTTCATGGTCAGCAGACAGCATTCATAACCACAAGGCCAAAAGGAAGAGATAAATCGTGGGTTTTTATAACAAATCGATACTGGCTTCCAGGGCAAATTATAAACCATGGGAAAAGGCCAGAAACCTGGCCGAAATACTAACTCCTTAACGGTTGGTCCAATTGTTCCGAAACCTTCACAGAACAATTTGCCGTGCCCTAACAAGCCGTTTTATGTACTTTGTTGTCCAAAGTTCCCTTATCTTCATACTTTTTAAGACCCAAACTTGATTGCTAATCTTTTTGAAACAGACTGTAATGCTAAACGTGATCCACATACAAAGTTTGAACTCGGTGCAAAATGATGTTTCATACAGTAACCGCTTCATGGTCAATGACTTCCACCGGCACATGCACATTATAGACAACAGGTATACAAGCTTCCAAGGACATACCGCTTACCTGGACTGGTATGAGCCATACTTGGAGCTGACACATAGTCAATATGCCTGGACATTTCTTCGGTGAACGCTCTACCAACATTGCTTAGTAGGGCCCTCTTGGCCTGCGGCTCGAGAGGCAGTGAAGAAGCATGTCTTACTACTGCAGCTGCTGCCAGCTGTGCTGTGTTTTCAAGGTGGACTGACGCTGGTGGCTGTGTACTCTGCTGCAATGCAGTTCCTCTCTCAGCAGCATTACCAACAGCAGCACACCTGCCAGTGCTAGTGTTAGCTGAACTGGCAATGGGATGTGTTGTAGTGGCTTGGGTGGATGCACTCAAACAGGTCTGGCTAAGACCAATTGTAGTCTCTGCCGTAGTAGAAGGACCTGACATTGATGATGGTAATCTACCAGGGGAGGAGCAAGCTAAGGCTGCACCGAGCTGCAGAGCGAGAGGTTGCTGTGCACCTGCCACAAGTACACCAGCACAGAGACATGTCCGCATCCACAAACCGATTATGTGATTTCAGGTTGCTACATTTGTATAAGCGTGCAAACACACATACATCAAATTCCATTGATTTTATTAAAGAAGGTTTCCATTTTGAATGGCCGGTGTCATGACACCTCAGTACATACCAATGTTTTCAAGTCTATTTCACATTCACCATAAAGCTAACGAGACAGGACGTAGAAAATGTATGGGTGGCTGGGGTGACCTGTAGACGGTCTTACTATCCGTACAGTATGACATGCAGCAGCTATTGCAATAGCCAACCTAACTCATCGTGAGGTATAAAGCTGTGGCCCATGATCAGTTGACTCAATGCCTTTTAAATTCTTGTTTTTCATTATTCAAATGGTAACCATAGGAATTGTTTTATGACGTCGTCTGACACACTCCTATCTCTAATTCCCTCCCCCTCCCCCTCCCCTCCCCTCCCCTCCCCTCCCCCTTTCACGCAATTTGAGCAAACTTGCGTCCCCTATTGTGAAGCGTTATTCTTTTGGGCACTGTATCGAGTCTGTCACCCTGTGGTTGGTAGTCTTGGCAATCATTTCCAAAATAATTGAGGACCCCAGTTGTCAGAACCCTAGAGTTTTAGAACTTTCTATTTGCCTTTTTTAGCATTTCTATGCAGAGTACCATAGGCAAGGCCCAGTAGGGCTGAATGGGATAAATGCAAATTCAGCTGCAACCATACAACAGCCTGTAGTTAGTTTCAAAAAGATTAGCAATCCTGGCGATCGCCCAGGGAGTTTGCGTCTTACCGTATGAGCGCTCGAGCGCTGCCTGGAAAAACTCACTGTGAACTCAAAGAAATATTCCGCGCGAAAGTATGAAAAATGACAACTCACTGACCTCGGTACTCGTACATGTTCGTCTGGTATACAACAAACGAGTTCTTCCTCGCATCGATATGGAGTCAAGAGAGGACATGTTGAAAGTGTGGTAAATTTTGACGAGCGGGATGCGTCCGTTTTGTGACCAAATAGATTCTTGGAGTTGCCGCGGATGCAATTTACTCTCACGATGTGGCGAAAACAGCATCGACACAGACTCATTCGCAAGGCCTTGAAGTGGCAAAGCTATCCGTGTGGCTTCGACAACATTTTAAGAAAAGCAGACGCCTGTGAAAGCTGATAGAAGACGGCGTTGACTCCTAAATTCAAATAAATTGGCGATCTTCAAATACTAAAATAATTCTCAAACAAAAATCGATCGATCGATGTGCCGGTGTATTCAACAACACGTAGCTACAGCGCAATGACTTCCGTGTTCACTCACACGGTTTCAGTGTTGCGTGTGTTCACAACTTCACATGGCGTGAGCCAGTCAAGTGTCAGTCAGTTCGGCAGGAAGCGCGAGCTCCAACAACAAGTCGTTTGGCGCAGCCACCTTCTTTGTCTTGTACCAGCGTGATCACCAAAATAATGAAAAAATGAAGAAAAAATGTTTGACTTGAAGATTTGTTGGGATTTGAACTCACAACTTCATGGTCAGCAGACAGCATTCATAACCACAAGGCCAAAAAGGAAGAGATAAATCGTGGGTTTTTATAACAAATCGATACTGGCTTCCAGGGCAAATTATAAACCATGGGAAAAGGCCAGAAACCTGGCCGAAATACTAACTCCTTAACGGTTGGTCCAATTGTTCCGAAACCTTCACAGAACAATTTGCCGTGCCCTAACAAGCCGTTTTATGTACTTTGCTGTCCAAAGTTCCCTTATCTTCATACTTTTTAAGACCCAAACTTGATTGCTAATCTTTTTGAAACAGACTGTAATGCTAAACGCGATCCACATACAAAGTTTGAACTCGGTGCAAAATGATGTTTCATACAGTAACCGCTTCATGGTCAATGACTTCCACCGGCACATGCACATTATAGACAACAGGTATACAAGCTTCCAAGGACATACCGCTTACCTGGACTGGTACGAGCCATACTTGGAGCTGACACATAGTCAATATGCCTGGACATTTCTTCGGTGAATGCTCTACCAACATTGCTTAGTAGGGCCCTCTTGGCCTGCGGCTCGAGAGGCAGTGAAGAAGCATGTCTTACTACTGCAGCTGCTGCCAGCTGTGCCGTGTTTTCAAGGTGGACTGACGCTGGTGGCTGTGTACTCTGCTGCAATGCAGTTCCTCTCTCAGCAGCATTACCAACAGCAGCACACCTGCCAGTGCTAGTGTTAGCTGAACTGGCAATGGGATGTGTTGTAGTGGCTTGGGTGGATGCACTCAAACAGGTCTGGCTAAGACCAATTGTAGTCTCTGCCGTAGGAGAAGGACCTGACATTGATGAGGGTAATCTACCAGGGGAGGAGCAAGCTAAGGCTGCACCGAGCTGCAGAGCAAGAGGTGGCTGTGCACCTGCCACAAGTACACCAGCACAGAGACATGTCCGCATCCACAAACCGATTATGTGATTTCAGGTTGCTACATTTGTATAAGCGTGCAAACACACATACATCAAATTCCATTGATTTTATTAAAGAAGGTTTCCATTTTGAATGGCCGGTGTCATGACACCTCAGTACATACCAATGTTTTCAAGTCTATTTCTCATTCACCATAAAGCTAACGAGACAGGACGTAGCAACTGTATGGATGGCTGGGGTGACCTGCAGACGGCCTTGCCATCCGTACAGTATGACATGAAGCAGCTATTGCTATAGCCAACCTAACTCATCGTGAGGCATGAAGCTGTGGCCCATGATCAGTTGACTCAATGCCTTTTAAATTATTGATTTTCATTATTCAAATGGTAACCATAGGAATTGTTTTATGACGTCGTCTGACACACTCCTATCTCTAATTAGACATCAATAGCACACTGTGTACGGTAATACGGTTGCATTCCTGTTTCTAGCATTCATTGTCGATGTAGTACTTTGCGACCATCACCATCCCCGCAACTTCCCGTAGCTTCTTACGTTGCTTCCTGCCGCGTCCCCTTTGAATGTCAACTATATCGCAAGCAAAACTCACCTGGATAATGGCAATGATGAAGTGCTGGTACAGCTGATACTGTGGCTGTTGCTCCTAGTTCTGACTCTGCTGTTTCTCCACGCACTCGTTCTGAAATTCCAATTGGAAGCCTTGCCTGGAGTGACACTTGAGGGGTTAATACAGTTGCTGATGAAGCCACTGCGTCTGTTTCTGCTACTCCTGCCATTGCCCCTGCTGCTGCTCCAGCTACTGCTGCTGTTGCTGCTGCTTCTCCCGCTTCTGCTCCTGGTCTTGCTGCTGCAGTTCTGCTTTTCATCGGTGGACACAGTGGTGCTAATTGCTGTCCATCTGGCCATGAACTCTTTGTCCCTGCATTGGAGTGATACGCTGCATATCCTGCTGATGCAGCCGCTGTTGTCATGCCTTTTTCAGTTGGCATGGTTACAGGTGGGTCTGCTCTGGCTGCTATGGCGTTGGCTGACTCTGGTTGCTTAGCAGCAACACTCGAGGACAATGCTGGGGTCACTGTACATAGGGGAAAGAGTGATAGAAACAAGAAAAACACAAAGGGCGGTAGGAAAAAACCAGATTACAAGGAAAGCACTATGGGACCCAGGACACTGTACAAGATACGATTCCAGTGAGTGGGTGTTTGTAGTAAATAAGGGGGTGGAAGACAGGAAAAAGTAGCTATGCAAGTCAACTGATCAAGGGCAATAACAGTCTTTGTCTATAATCTGTAGGTGAAAATAGAGATGTAATAACCAGTGCACTATTTGCACAATGAACAATTTCGTTATGAAATTCAGGGAGAGGATGGGTGCAGAATCTATTTTCTTCACGAGAGTTCCTCTCACCTTGTTGAACGCGGTCTTGTGGCAAGAGTTGAATCATCTGATGATAGCGGTCGGTGTAGCCCATTTTCAGAATGACATTACACAGACCCTGATAGGTGTCCATTTCACCAGGATCAAGGATTGAAACGACTTTTGCATTGTGGGCCGCACCTCCCTGTTGTGCTTGTATAAGTTTAAGATCATCAATGAGGTCGCGGTCTTTGATCAAACCCCGGCGCTGGACAAGCTTCCGGAATTGATCAGGATCAAGACGTTGAATCCATAGCTGGATATCGCAGACAAACTCTTCAGAATCAAATGGGTTTTCTGAAGAAAGAGAAGTTGATCACAAACAAGACACTCGTGTGTTGTGAGGAACCGTAAATTTCTAGTAATGTTGCTGCGGATCAGGGTTCGTGTCGGTACCCGGTGGAGCTCCTGAAATTCTGGCCTGGATTTTCAGCATTTAAGTGGGGTTCTATGGTGGTGGCGGTGGTGCTGCTAGCCTGGTCTACTCCACACGGGTGTTTGAAGTAGCTTTTTCTGGCCAATGAATGGTACCCGCTCAGAAGAATGAAAGAAGAGCGAGGAGAATGAGAAAGAGAAGAAAGGCGTGTGCGAGCATAATCGTCGATAATTGCGCCCGCAACCTCTCAATAAGAAATCGACTGCACCTACCACTGCACCATATGGCCCACATACGGGTTGGTATGGTGGAGCAGAGAAGAATAGTGTACACACAACCAACCTGATCATGTACTAACTCTGCAGTCAAGTGTGACAGGAACAACTTGGGTAGTAAAAGAACCGAGTCCTCCAAATAAGCATAATCTGACTATCCTGCCGCTTGGGTCAGGTGCAATTCCACTCAATTTCCAGCCAAGACTCGGACACTTAGTGATGTAATTTACGTTCATAACTAGTAAGGAATGCAAGATCTTTACGAGTCTTGACTTATAGACAAACCGACAAAGCACTCACCATCCATCGTGCGAAAATGCTCTCATACCAACCGTGTAGCAAAGAGCTAAACAGAGAAATATAGAATGATGGATTGATAGAAAGATGGAAATTAGCACAGAAAGGGAGAAGAAACCCCAGAGATTGTAAGAAGCGATGATAGCGAACAGCTATGTTAGACATAGTGTAGGATTCCCTTTCCTAATAGTAATACAAGACTATTCCCTGGTTTCATCAGACACTCAACTGTTCATATCGATAGTAAAACTAATGTTACTTGTCATGACGGAGAAGAGAGAGAAAGGCAAGAAACACGTGGGCATGCGCGCGGCTTACAAGGCCAGAGATTCGTCACGTGGACAGGAGCAGGAAATACGAAATACAAATGTAAGAAATAAGTAATCATTGGCCTATACTACAATAGCAACTTGTGCTGGGATTACACCATTCAACAGCTTGCAAGGCTGATGAATTGACCGCCACTAATTTTAGCCTGGTATCCACCACATAGCTGATTGAAGCGGCTTTTTCTGGCCAGTGAATCCCTATTTTTCATTTTTTCTTTTTTCTTTTTCTTTTTACACACACACACACACCACACAACATACTCCGGCATACACTGGCTGTTGGTAACCACCCAGGAGAATGAAAGAAGAGGTAGGAGAATGAGAAAGAGAAGAAAGACGTGTGTCCCACATACACACACACACACACACACACACACAAACACATACACACACACACACACACATACACACACACACACACACACACACACACACACATACACGTACACCCATATACTGTCGTGGACATGGAAATTCGATCGGAGGTCAGGCGGCCCCAGGGCGCTGGCCATGCAGTCGTGAGTACGTACAGTGAAACCTGTCTAAGGCGACCCCTCAAGGGACGAGAAAAAGTGGTTGCCGTGGCCAGGTGGTCTCTTTATCCAGGTTCAGTGGGTCACGTGACCATATCCACATGTGACACATCATTTTGATCAGTGTATCACAGTGCACACACCTATGCTACTCTAGCACGACTCATGTGCCTGGGGTACTCAGACCTGTCAAGTGTCGTGCATGCACCATGTACATCTACACTTCCTGCACTGATGTGTAGATCTACCATGCATGGTGCACCATGCAATGCGTACATTTACATGACTAGCACTGTGCAACGCGGTCGCGGGTGGGTGGTCGTCGGTTACGTTGAGCGAGTGGTCGCCTTATCCGAGGTGTTTTGAACGTGAATGCGTCTGTGACAAGGAAAAGTGGTCGCCATGGTCGAGTGGTCGCCATATCCGAGTGGTCGCCATGGTCGAGTGGTCGCCGTATCCGAGTGGTCGCCATGGTCAAATGGTCGCCATATCCAAGTGGTCGCCATTACAGGTTTTAGTGTATATGGTACACACACGCAGCGTTCAGTACACA